TCGATTCAAAATGACTTTCTGAATGGGTCGGCATAATACAAAATAGGTCTATCTCAATTCCTTCTGTGGGTTGCGTACATACGCACTAACTAAATGTAACTTTGTTTCAGAAGTGGTGTACGGTATAATAATTTGCAAACTGATAAAATTTTAGAAGAGTCAGTCGATGGTGTTAGAAATCCTATTAAGGCAGAAAGCTAAGTACTAGAACAAAGTTAACCTGAAATCTGCCTACAATAGGTAAAATCCATAAGAAACAATTTTAAACTAAAGCAAAGACAATTTCTTGGAAATAAGCGGAGATACTAAGTGCTAGGAATGCATTATCGCAACAATCTTCAAAGCAAACTCTGGTCTCTTACGTTATCAACTTTGATGTCCTCTTATGTTCTTATCCCTTAAATATTATTAACTTGAGAAATAATAATGGCTGCATTAACCTTTCGGTCTAAAAACCGACTGTGCATAAGATATTAAAGAAAAAAAAAACAAAAATAACTAAAATAAATAAATAATTACAGCAACAACAATACTTTATAAGTAATAGAGAAAAATTAAGTTAAACACAAAAATTATATGCAAAACAATATCAGGAATTTTTAATTTTGTAAAAAAAAAAGAAAAAAAAAATAAGAGCAAAAAAGATAAAGAAGAAGGATCACGCTATAGAAGAAACTCTGCACTACTATCGACAGCAATAAAGGTGAAAATTTTCATCTCTCTTAATTCAATACCTAAGATAAGATAATGATGGACTCGCATTGTATATAAGCAAGTGATCGCTGATATCGAGTCCAGTAAAAGAAGAATTTTCGTCATTTTTACGACTATTACTAATGGATAAGGGTTGATAGTCCTAAGATGGCCCGGTCCATATGTCAAACAAATCGTTCCATTTTTTCATCATGTTTAAGGCTTAAGGCTGGTACTCCAAAGGAGATTCTCTTCATTTGTGAAACATTGGGTTACGCCTAGCACCACTAGGTCCACTTCCCTATCTTTTTCTCTTTCCTTAGGTCTTTTTGACCGTCAATGTGTCGATAGGTCCGTTCACCTCTCACTGTCTGTCTCTCTCTCTCTCTCTCTCTCTCTCTCTGTCTCTCTCTCTATCTCTATCTCCCTCCCTCTCTCCTTTATGACCTTTGCTCTGGATAACGTTCATTCGTGAATCGAAACAGGTCAGTGTGCTAGATTCCATCAAAATACCTAAAAAATTGTGATCCGTAGATTGAACATAAGAAAACAAGATGGGCAAACGCACTTAAATCGATTAGGAAAGTAATTCGAACACGAGAAAGCAAGATAGACAGACGAACAGATGAGCTTAGATCGATGCAAAAAATGTATTGGTATTATATTCGGTATTATATACGGTATTATAAAAGGTGAGACTATCTCAACTCCTTAGAGAATTATTTGTTCAGTTGCTAGAGTGTTGAAATGGCAGTAAAGAACTCGCTAATCTCACAAGAAAACAAGACGGACAGACAGCCTCAAAAGCTACAGAATCACTTTCTGAATCGATCGACATAATAAAAGTTGGGAGTAGCTCAAGTCCTGTGTGTTATATACCTCCGCAAAACCTTAATGTATCCTCGTACCACAAGCGGTCGGTTGTGGTCGGTTTTAACCTAATCTATTTATACCCGTATCACTAACATACGCTGCATATGTGACTAAAAGATAACGCATGGATCGAATTACATTGATTGTACATCGTACGGTTAGCGTGGCATATGGGCAGGTGCTGCCAAGGGTATACTTAGCGCGAAGAAAAGCTGATACGTATTAGAATGACATAAGCACGCGTGCTCATCAGCATAAGTATACAACTACTGTGATTAAGTTTCGAAACTAAAGCTCATGGCGATCGTTGTGTTTCAGAAAATGAGTTACCTTAGATTGCAGTAAATATACCCCAGTTTTCCATACGATAGCAATTAAAAATGAAAAACACTTGCAATCAAAGCCGGTGGGCGCTTTTGTCCCGTTTTGAACGCTTTGAAAAAAGATTGCAGCTCTATCGTATTCTTAAATGTTCACGGCATCGAAAGCATATGTGTTCGGCATTGTTTTTCTATGTTACTTGAGCTACATGGATTATATTATCTTCCGTCGATTTCACAAAGGTAAGAGAGAGAATTCGATTTTTGAGAAGCATGTAAAGTGAGTCCTTTGCTTCCAACGTTCACTTGGTGAGTTGTTTTCGAAAAGAAAAATTCTTCCTTGCTCTGGAATTAATTCTGTCTTCTCAATCCCAACTCAAGGTTTTTTTTGATAATACGCATCCAAGGTTGCAACCGAAGGGAAATATTTTCCCCCTACTTCAAGATACTACGCTCGCCTTATTAAGACTGCCTCAAGATTTCCTATTATAATTTTCATGGCATTATTAAAATTAAGACCAATGTTCAACAAGTAAGAAAGTTGTATTCACCGACAACAAACACCACACAGACGGACAGGCATCACTTAATCAATGCAAATTTCGATTGCTTGCTTATCGGATGCCGGCATACGGTTTTCTTGACTGACCTTAACAGACTTTTGATGAATTGCTCTATGTCAGGTTAACACAATTACTGCGCCTATGAGTTCCATGAGCAAGTCGCATAAGTCGCTTTCAGTGCATAATTTAAGTCAATCGTCAATCAAGTGAAAAGACAAAACCGAAATCTGTCTTACGGCCCAGAGGCCGGCTTCCAGCAATTGATAACGAGTAAACTCGATCGCTGTTTGATTACACTGTTGCTCTGTACTGTAAACGAAGGGTCTGAACTGTCGACGTTTGTAAACCCTCTACACTCTTTACAGTGAATCGACTATCTCGTTTACCCGATAACAAGAGCTGTAAATCGCCTTCAAGTTACAAATTTATGTTGTCGTAGGATCCGACTAGTGTGCAACGGTTTCCTTGATCGTTCTCACCTTCAGCAGTTATTTGGTAGCGACCTGTCAATCGTCAAGAAGTATTGTCCTTGAATCTTACATGTCAAAATTATCTAATATGGGCCGATCTACAAATTTCAAGTCTATAGAGTTCGCTAAGCAAAGGTAAAGTAATTTTTTTTTTATACCCACGACTCATTTTGTTTTTTTCATTGCGTATGCAACACCCAAAAAGAATAAAATTCTGAATTGATTAAGCCATGTCTGCCTATCAGTATAGTGCTTGCTGTTGGCACTCTCCTAGTCGTAAAATGGAGATATCGATTTCAAATTTGGTAGAAACATTAAAAGTTCTTGCAAGTTCTAGTTGATATTGAAAATGGACCAAAGTGACCCGTGACTCAGAAATTATAAAAATTCGAAGAAGCTATGCCATGCCCGCACAATATTAAAAGTGATTAAATTTTATTTCATTTTAGTCTTTAAATTTATTTCTCGACTACATAAACTTCTCTATACCACTTACAGTACAGCAATATATTAAGTTTGTCCGGATATATACAATACATAGAAGAACTTGACCTTTTATTATACCGTTTGATCCAGAATCACTTACTGTGTCGGTGTAAGCTTATTGGTCTCTCTGTCCGTTCTATGTTCAAGTTATGGTCAGTAATATTTGAGATATTTTGATAAAATTTGCTAAAGCTATTGAAAATAGTTCGCAGCGAACCACTTTTCCAACAACTTCCCAATTCCCCGCTTTATTTTGAAAAGTCATTATATGAATAACTGTGTACAGTGGTGTAAGCAGTTTAACGTTGGATCGTGGCGCGCTGTGCTGTTTTTATTTTATTTGTTTTAACTGCTTTCGATCAATTGTTGAAGAATATTATTCTACCATTATAATTGGCTTCATTACGTAGGTCCTTTAGATATTAAAAATTATTGTCAAACCAATAGCCTAGACTGGAAGATTCTTCTTTCTTTCGCGGCGATTATCAATCTCTTTCCGAGTTCCCCTAAATAAGAAATTATAATGTTTGCAATTGTTATCCTGATTATTGAGATCATAGTAGCGGTAGTGTAGAGTTTTAACAGAATATACCGTAAAATAAATTATATAAAAACAAAATATAAGAATATATAAAAAACAAAAATTTATCAAACGACGAATAAATGTTTAAATGTAAAATTCATAAGCAAATAAGTAAACAATAAATAAAATAAAGCATAACTTAAGGATTTCAAGAAAACCATGTGCTATTAGATAAAGAAAATAAATATAATAATATGTATAATTAAGAATTTAAAAAGAAAAAAACAATTTTTTTAACAACGCCGAATATATGTAAAAAATGATAAGAAAACATAAAAAAGAAAACAACAAAATTGTAAATAATAACCTTTTTTTAAATTATACTGAAAGGAAATTATTACAAAAGTAAAAAAAAAAAAAAAATTTTGTAAAAAATAATTTTAAAAAAATTTTGGAAAATCTTTTTTCTATACTCTGTACATAAATTTATTACATATATATACGATTTCTTTTTATTTATTTATTTATTGTTTATTTATTGTAATATATTTTATTAATAATAATTATTAAAAAAAAATAGTTGAATTTTTTTTATTTAAACTTAAATCTACAAACATACGTAAAATATTAAACAAAAAGATTGTGAAACTAAGATTAAAAATAATTTTAAAAAAAAAAATTTTTAATAATTTCTTAAATGAATATTAAAATAACGAAATTTAGAAAAATACAGTAAATATATATAAAATGAAAAATTTGTAAATGATTATTATATATACATATATTTCTAAATTATTATATATACAAACATACACACGAATACACGCAAACATACATACAAAAATAAAATTATTATTATAATTAACAATATTTACGCCATTATTTTAAAAATCGTTAAAATATAAAAAAAGAACAAAATATTAAATAAACTATAAACAATTACAATAACACAAAATTATATGTAATAATGAATGAAAAAAAAAAAAAAAAAAAAATATATATAAAAAATATATATATATATATATATTATCAAAGAAGAAATTTAATTTAAAAAGAATTAATATTTTATTGAAGAAAAGTTTTTCCGCAGAATATTTGGGCAAAATTTATTAAAATTTTTCTTTTCATAATCAGGTGTCAAAGCCGAATTTGATGTACAGACAATGCACAAGCTTCAAACGTAGAAAGATTCCTTGTTTTATGGACCTCTTCAAATTGATCTAAAACTCCCAACCTTAGCACAAATGTGTTTATATATAAAATATTTTTATATATATATATTGATATATTAGGTGTTTGCAAAAATTTTGATCACTTATTTCTACATATAACGTTTGATCTCGATGCTTTTGAAGTTCCTCTACATAAATTAACAGTTTCCCATTTGTTCAGGATACGCCCATGGTAATCGTGAAGGGCTCAAAAATACTTCTACTTCCAAATCCATTACTTTTGTTATTTATTTGAAGAGATCTGCTGCCGAAGTCCACCCAACAAGTTCAGAGGCATATGGTTATGTTGCTCCATCATATCTTACGCGGGTTCACAGAGATAAAGAAGTACGAAAGCGTTGCCAAACCAATACAAGTTCTTTCGACATGATATCTTCAAGTCGCCAAAAATATTATAAGGTTTTGTGGAAAATGATGGAAACCATTTTGATTAATATATATTATACCAATTTTCCGCAATAAATACCTTTCTCAAATGAAAAAGTGATCAAAATTTTTGCAAGCATCTAACACATATATCTTAAGGGGGTTACATATATATCCACGTTTCTTTAGTCAAGTTGGAAGCAAGAGTGAAAACACGCATTGTTCATAATCAACTGATGAGCAAAACTTCGCATACTAGTACTAGTAAATATTGCCAGGATGCGAGGTAAATATTATTATGGTATACCAAGCTTCCTTACCCCTCTCCATTATATATAAGTTAAATGCTAATCTCGAAATGCTTAATCTAGTAGAACAGGTTTGCTTCTAGATACATTCCATCATTTCAGGATCCTCTCCCCTCGCCATTACATGTAATTTAAATGCTAATTTTGAAATGCTTGATATAATAGAAAGCAATCCTTGTTCGATTTTCTGTTACAGTCTTTGATTTGCTTCTAGATACATTCCATAGGCGTGGGCAACATATCAGGGTCTTCTCCCATGTCCAGTAGCATCGTTCTTAAGCGTTTTCCAGCACTTTCCAAATGCTTTAAAATCCTCTCATTTTCTTCAACATTGCCACTCGGAATGATACCATTTTCTGTCGTTAAACATTGTTCGTAATGTTTTCTTAAACTTTCCCGACTTTCGAATTTATTACCGCAAAGGGAACACTCGTAACACTCGTGTTCCATGATAATCTGATCGCCGTGATTTATTTGCAAATGTTGAAACATTTTTATTTTATTTGTTTGCCTTTCACCGCATAATTTACACTTTAGATACGATTTGTATGGAGCGTGTTTAAAATGATGATGCTTTAGGATGTTAAAGTCATTTGTTGCTAGAGTTTTGGAGCATATTAAACATAAATATGAATTCTTTTCCGCATCTAAAGGACGGACATCATTAAATATAAGATCGGAAAGATTGTGATCAGTGAAAACATGATTACGCCAAACGATTTGATGTTCAAATTCTTGACCACATTCCGGGCATAAATAGTTGAGAAATTTCTGCCATTCATCGGGTTTAAATTTTGCACTATCTTTCGCTTTCAAGCGTACAAATTTCGGCTCAAATCGTATTGATGCAGCTGCCAAATCATCATCACGGTCATCGTCGCTTCCATCGCTATCGGTTTCTTCAAACATTTCATTGCAAATATCCTCCAGGTCTTTGTCGCTTATTTCGTTTTGTAAGAAAAAAGAATTGTCGGCCGTTTCTTGTAAAGCGGCATCTTCTACCTCTAGCCTCAAATTCCCAAGCTCATGTGATTTTTTTATAGTATTTTGTTGCTGCAGCTCTTCGCTTACTGACAATTCTTGCTTTACATTTACATTTTGTTGTTGCAATATGATTCGCAAAAGTTCATTTAATTCTCTGACCGTTTCCAAATTAGCTTCACCACCCCATTCCTTAGGTATTTTTAACAATCCCTTAATATCCTTAATATTTGGATGTGTATGCAAATGCACGTTAATGTAATGCAATAATACCTCGGTCTTATAACATTTACGTGTAGAACAAAAGGCACATTGGAAATACATTTGATATGGCAAATGCGTGAAGTAATGTCGCTGTAACTGAGATCTGGATGGATTATCCGTTAAAATGAGCTGACATAAGGTGCAATAGTAATTATTATTGCCTATGCGTTTCATATGAAACTGCTTAAATGCATTACAATGATTAGTGTCGATGTGTTGTCGCCATTTTTGATGACGATCAAAGTGTTTCCCACATAGCGGGCATAAAAAACGCATATAGAATTCGGCATTTAAACGCGGATCTTCCACCGACGCCGCTTCCACTTTCCGATGTTGATGGCCAAAGCCCGATAATATATTTCCATGCATTTTATCCAAATGTATGTATAAAGTTTTCTTCTGCGTAAAATCTTTCAAGCAATGACGGCAACTATATCTACGTGGATATGGCAAATGCGTAAATCTATGATATTGTAATGACGTTGTGTGACGAACTTCTCGAGCATCGACAACTTTGCTGCAGTCTCGACATTCATATATCTTGTTGCCAATTTCTTCATAATTAAAATCTGTGCCTTTTTTATGAATATAATCGTGTTCTTCGTTTAAATGACGACGCCATTCTTTCTGTGTATTATGTAAAATACCGCATTCGGGACAAATAAAAAAAACATGTTCCTCAAATTGTTGGGCAGTATAATCTCTAAACACTCGCAAGGATTCTGCCATATTATATTAATGCACAAGTAGAAAGACTCTCGTGTCCTGTGTAAAAACTATGTGGAAAATTTAATAATTCCGGTTTTGTTTCTGTTGCACCTTAAAGGCCGGTTTAATAAAATTTTCTTTTGCATTCAAAGAATTGTTAGATTCCAAACTTCTTCTTCTTCAATCCAAAGCAGAAGATCCGCTATGCTGTGTAAAAAAGGTCAAATGCAAAAACGAATTCCGGACTTCTTTGTGTAAACCTTGACACAGTTATTAATAAAAGTTACTTATTCCAGTTAATTTTTCGCAGTTAAGGTTTTTTTTTTCTTGGATTGTTGGGTGGAGATGGTAGCTAAAGTTATATGCAGAAGTTAACAGAGTAAACAAAAAAACATGCAAATAGAACAGATAGTCAATCAGCTGATTTTATGTCCAATAAATGAACATTTTTTTACTCAACGCAGTGAATCATCTGTTTTTGATTTGCTGACTTTAGGGGAGACATAAGAGGAAGCAATAAACGAGAAAGAAAACAAAACAACAACGAGTTGATTTCTGCCATATATTTGAAGAATTTAACAAACAGACTTTTGCTCTGTTTGCTGCTGTCTGTTCTTAATGTAGAAAGTTGTCTAATAAATATTCCCAGATATGTAATGCGTTCAATGCAGGAACTCACATATCGTACGATATCTTATTTTAATCTATACAGAGACCGTGAATTACATGGTGTAATTATTGTAATTTATTAAAAACTTCTTCGATTTTTAAAGAAACGAAGATCTTACATTTAAAAAAATTACAATACGATGTTACTGTTCACCTAGAAACATGCCGTGCGTTATATTATCTTTGTCTATTCAAAGATCATGAAACAACCGTATAATTATTGGAGTTTATTGGAAACTTCCTCACTTTTTCAACTGGCAAAATATCTCACTTCAAAATAAAGCCCAGATCGTAAATGAAAATAGTTTCAATACGATATTACTGTACATGTTGAAATGCATAGTTTAAATTCGATTACATCTATCATGCCCTGAGTTCGTAAAAACTGATACATAAATTAAACGTGCCATCGTAACTGGCCCAGATATCTAATAAATTCACGGTCTTTAAAATAGATTCTGAAACGTGACATTTATAGCTTCTGGAACATGAGAGAAAATAGGCTACCATATAAATAGCATCCGATAGCATCACTATGATTCGATTCAATGAATTTCATTCTTCCTGAAAATGTAATTTCTTGATTTTTCGACATAATTGTCGTAATAATGTACGTAACCGTACCTGTCAATTAATACCGATTCGAATTTAATTGAAAATTTGAAGTAAGCAGGAAAAATTGTCATCCACTGTGATACAAAAATTTATTATTCAATTGAATTTCTGATTCGTTCCTTTTCTTTTTTTTTTAAATTTGACGTTTCGTTTCCTAGCGTTTTGTTATTTCTATTTGAAAAATTTTGCTGGCTTTTTTTTTCCAAAGCATCGTGGTTGACATCAGTTCAGACGCGTATTTTACTTGTTATATTGAAGTGAAGAAAAATTATTTTGTTTAAAGAAAAAGTGTAAAAAGAATTTTTAGCAAAAATCTTGCAGCGGCATCAAAAGAGTTTTCATTGTAAAACGAAAAAGAGAAAAAATTTAAAAAGCGAAAAAAATTAGACGGAAAGGAAAAGTAATGGCAGCCGACCAATTTCAACAACTTTTAAATTCTTTTTTGTCGAACGATAATGATGTTCGTCAACAAGCCGAGGTATGTAAAAAAGGAAAAAATATGTTTTTTTTGTGGAAGGTGTGTAAAACTATTAAGACGAAGGGAGAAAACCTTTAGATAATTTGTCAGACTTTTGCATTTTCTTTTCTTTTTCCTAAAATCACTTTAATTTCTAAGGCATTTTCATATATGGCTTTTATTTACTGCAAAGTAGTAGTGGAATAGAATGTTTCTTCTTTTTGATGTTTTGTGTGGAAGCAGTACAAAGCATGGTTAGCTTGTTTGAATGCGAGAGGCAAATGAATGCGAAATGTGTGTTTGATTTTTTAAGAAATTGAAATTCAATTAAAAATATAATCTAAGAAAAAAGTTTTTTTTTTTGTTAAGCTTTGTAATTAGTATTGATTATAATAGAATCACTTGTTTTGCACTTTAAAGTCGACATTCGGTCGATCTGATTCACAAAACGGAAACAAGAGAAAGCAAATATTGGTTCATTCAAAGGGTGGTGGCGGGAATATTCTATCTCGCTCTACTTCTCTTTCGTTTCATAGAATCGAAAATGAATAAATTTCCGTAAAATTTTTTGTTGGTTTTTTTTTATATGTTTAGAAATTTCGAGTCTTTCCAAAATGAAATCTTAACAATTCTTATTGTTTTCAATTTGAGAACATTAAGAATGACCTTGAAATCGTCGCCTTTAAATAGAAAAATGTTAAACCCCTAATCAAATCATTGTGTATTTGTAATTTTTTATTACATGTAATTTGCTGTAGGAGGCTTATAATAATGTGCCACGCGAACTGAAGGTTACTCATCTTTTGGCCACCATACATAATGGTCAGCAATCAGAAGAGACCCGTCACATGGCTGCTGTACTCTTGCGTCGTTTATTCACATCGGAATTCTTAGAATTCTATAAAGAGGTAAGTGATTGCTAAGAACAACTTACTTAAAAATCTCTTCAATTTACGAGCAAAAAAGAAAGAAAAACGCCGAAATAAATGACGTCTAATGAAATCAAAACAAAAGATATAAACGTCAGGTATCAAAACAAATATTACATACATATATATACGTGCATGCAAAAAAAAAAAAAACATGCGATAGTAAAAATTAGGTTATGTCAGGGCTATTTAGGTATACATATGCTGTCCTAAATTTAAAGCTACAAGTTATTTTCACTTTGGACATTTAAGTTTTTTTTTGTTTTATTTTTTTTATATCAAATTTTAGATCTATCTTTTTTTTTATATCTGCTGTGGCGAGTAGATTGTCATACATTAGTTTTGAAAGCTCTGGCACGCGGTTATGTAAACGGGGTAACTTCCATTTTAAGAATTTTTTTTTTTTTTTACTAAGGAAGTACTTGTTAGAGAGTCTTTCTATCCTAAACTTTGTTTTAGGAGATAGGCCAGCAAAGCATACTCGTTGAGCCAACCGTTCTTAATCTCTTCTAGGTGGGCACAAATTGATATTGAAATCTAAAAGTACAAGGCCCTGATTTGCCCATAATCCCTGCAGCCGAAGCGTTTATGTAATTCTATATATAAATATATGAATTTATAAACATCGATATCAAACGAAGAGGTGGAGCAAATATTAAACAATTAACTGTAACCAATGTGATGAATACATCCGCGGTGGTCCGTCCATCCGTCCTTGTCAGATTTCCTCACAAAATATTATCATGAAGAATATATCTTTGCTATAATGGGGTATTTTAGAAAACAGTTTTTTCATTTTGTCAGGTCGTTTCATTACGACCTTATTTCATATTATACATAACCTTTGTTTGGCGAGCATATTGCTAAATGGGTCGATATGGTTACCAGATGAAACTCATCAAGCTAAACATTGTTTTCCACATAGAGACTTGAAAGATTTTCAAGCATTTATCAATTTACTGAAAAATCATGTCGATTGTCCTTACATGAATTACGATATTTATAAAGGGTAGCGCCAGCAGAGATAGGAACGATGATCACACATTTATCACTCTGAAATCCGTTAATCTCTACAAGACTCATTATCATTATCATTGCAAGACTCGTTAACTTCACAGTGTATATGGGTTTCCAATATGTCTTTTATTTTGAGTTGCTTTCGTCTGTTTTCCAGAGTTTAACTTGACTTAATAAACAGAAAGGGTCAGCCAAAAGTTCTCGTTCATATGAATTTTTTCTAATCATGTATGAAGTAATTACGATTTAAAATTTAGATAAGATATATAATTTTTTATCAAACATAAAAAGTGTACATATATGTACGCGTATATATATATGTATATATATATATATATATTGTAATTTTCAGTTGCCGCAAGAATCTCAAGCTCAGCTATTGCAACAAATCCTACTGGCCATACAACAGGATGTTACGCCGAGTCTGCGACGTAAATTTTGCGAAGTTGTCGCCGAAGCAGCTCGGAATTTTATAGACGAGGATGGCAACAATCAATGGTCTGAAATATTGCAATTTTTATTTCAATGTGCCAACTCTCCATCATCGCAATTGCAAGAGTCCGCCTTGCGTATATTTGCAAGTGTACCAAATATATTTGGCAATCAAGAAGCTCAATACTTGGATTTAATTAAGCAAATGTTGGCTAAAAGTATGGATCCGTCCGCCGATGTCGAGGTGCGCCTTCAAGCTGTACGAGCTATTGGTGCATTTATTTTGCGTCACGATAAAGAAAAAGATTCGGTCTTATATAAGCAATTCGCCGATTTATTGCCACGCATGATTATGATAACAGCCGAGACAATCGAACAACAAGAGGATGAATCACTGCTTAAACTTTTAATCGATATGACCGAAACGTGTCCGAAATTTTTACGATCACAATTGGAAGTCATTTTCGAGATTTGCATGAAGGTATCGATTCGATTTAAAAACAAAGTCTATTTATATATTAATACTTGATAATCTGTCGCATGTAGGTATTCAGTTCGCAGGATATCGAAGATAACTGGCGTCATCTAGTACTTGAAGTTATGGTTTCGTTGTCGGAAAATGCTCCAGCTATGGTGCGTAAACGTGCTGAGAAGTATATAGTTTTGCTGATTCCATTAATTTTGCAAATGATGACCGATATGGAGGATGACGAAGAATGGGCCACCTCCGACGTGGTCAGTGATGATGATAATAGCGACAATAATGTTATTGCCGAATCATCCTTGGATCGTTTGGCTTGTGGTTTAGGTGGTAAGACGGTTCTGCCTCATGTTATGAATGCGTTGCCTGGCATGTTAAGCCATAGCGATTGGAAGCAACGTTATGCAGCCCTAATGGCTATATCGGCTATCGGTGAGGGTTGCCATAAACAAATGGAAGCGATGCTAGATCATGTTATGGTTGGCGTTTTAAATTTCCTACGTGATCCACATCCACGTGTTCGCTATGCTGCCTGTAACGCGATAGGACAAATGTCGACAGATTTTGCTCCGACATTTGAAAAGAAATTCCACGATCAAGTGGTTCCCGGTTTATTGTCTTTGTTGGACGATGTGCAAAATCCTCGGGTGCAAGCGCATGCTGGAGCTGCACTCGTCAATTTTTCGGAAGATTGCCCAAAGCAAATTTTAACCCTTTACCTGGACGCAATTATGGCCAAGTTGGAAACAATTTTGAATTCGAAATTCAAGGAATTAGTCGAAAAGGGCAATAAACTGGTGTTGGAGCAAGTAGTTACAACAATTGCCTCAGTGGCCGATACGTCCGAAAAAGAATTTGTCAGTTACTACGATCGCTTAATGCCATGCTTGAAATTTATTATACAAAATGCTAACTCGGAGGATTTGCGTATGCTAAGAGGTAAAACAATTGAGTGCGTAAGTCTTATTGGTTTGGCCGTGGGACGGGATAAATTTATTACCGACGCTGGCGAAGTTATGGATATGTTGTTGAAGACGCATACGGAAGGTGATCTACCGGATGACGATCCTCAGACGGCTTACTTGATTACTGCATGGGCTCGCATGTGCAAGATATTGGGCAAACAATTCGAGCAATATTTACCGTTGGTCATGGGCACTGTTATGCATACGGCCGCAATGAAACCCGAAGTAGCTTTATTGGATAACGAAGAGGTCGAAGATATTGAGGGTGATGTCGATTGGTCCTTCATCAATTTGGGCGAACAGCAAAATTTTGCAATACGCACAGCTGGCATGGAGGATAAAGCTTCAGCTTGTGAAATGTTAGTCTGTTATGCGCGGGAACTGAAAGAGGGCTTTGCTGATTATGCCGAAGAAGTTGTGCGTTTAATGGTACCCATGTTAAAATTCTATTTTCATGATAGCGTACGTACAGCAGCCGCTGATTCGTTGCCATATTTATTGGATTGTGCCAAAATTAAGGGTCCCCAGTATTTGGAGGGCATGTGGTTATATATTTGCCCCGAATTATTGAAAGTTATTAATACTGAGCCCGAAACTGACGTGCAATCGGAAATGCTTCATTCCTTAGCCAAGTGCATTGAGACATTAGGACCAAATTGTCTGAACGAAGACGCCATGAAGCAGGTACTCGAGATCATTAGTAAATATATGACGGAACACTTCGAGCGAGCTGACAAGCGCCTTCAAGCCCGCAATGAGGAGGACTACGATGATGGGGTTGAGGAAGAACTAATCGAACAAGACGATACTGATACATATTTATTATCGAAAATTGTCGACATAATACACGCCCTTTTCATGACGAATAAAACTCAATTTTTACCGTATTTCGATCAGATAGCGCAACATTTCATAAAGCTGATGGATCCGGCACGTTCTTGGTCTGATCGCCAATGGGGTTTATGCGCATTTGACGATGTAATCGGTAAGCCAGCGTCTCCCTTCTCTCTCTCTCTCTCTCTACCTCTCTATCTCTATCTATTCATATAATGTTTACTCACGCGAATGCTATACGTTATAATTGTTTTAGAGTATTGTGGCCCTGCTTGTGTTGCCTATCAGCAATTTTTCACACCCGCCCTCTTGCAATATGTTAACGATAAAAGGCCGGAAGTGCGGCAAGCAGCTACATACGGTTGTGGTGTTTTGGCTCAATACGGAGGCGAACAATTTGCTGTCACTTGCGCACAAATCATTCCGCTCTTGGTGCAACTCATCCGAGATCCAAAAAGTCGTGAACCCGAACATAACAGTCCCACGGAAAATGCAATTTCTGCTATTACCAAAATATTGAAATACAATAAAACGGCTCTTCAGAATGTCGATGAAATTATTAGTGTTTGGTGAGTGAGGAGTGAGAAATAGAATACATATACGAAGAATAGTAATAAGAAGAAATGATGATAATAATTTTGTTTTTCATTTTAATTAACTGTTTTTAGGTTCTCTAGCTTACCAGTAACTGAAGACAGCGACGAAGCTCCGCATATTTACGATTACATGTGTGATTTAATACAAGCCAATCATCCCGTGATCTTGGGTGCTAATAATTGCAATCTGCCCCGCATTGTCTCAATTATAGCCCAGGCATTCCTTCACAAGTTGATAGAATCAACTCCCGAATTGGGCCAACGTATGCTAAGTATTGTAAAACAAGTTGAGTCCAATTCCGAAGTCTTCCAGGCTTGTGCCAGTCAATTGACACCCGATATGCAATTAGCGTTGCAAGAGGCCTATCGAGAGTTATCGGCAAAATCATCCCAATGTTAATTATCACGATGAATGTACACGACGACGCATTATATCTATCGAGTCCAAAAACATCGGCTCTGGAGAACCTCTTAATTTGTTTTTTTTTTTTATTTTTTTTTTATTTGTTTTGCATTTTCAAAAATGCGCTTATATTACAATTAATATATTGAAACTTAACGTGTTTAGATATAAACAGACAGACGACGAAACGGTACATACATATAAACATGAACGCATACAACTCGTATATATAAGTTTGCGGTTCGTATAATTTTTTTTTTTTTTTTCCTTTTATAAAACGGATTCAGCAACAACTGAGGCTGCAAGACTTCGCTATTAAGGGTAAATTCGCTTTAAAGTTAATCATCATCATATTTCGGCAAAACAAAACAAAGCAAGACAACAACAAGATATTCTCTTCTCCTAACAACAGACCTCATTTATAATTTACCCAAAAATATATATATATGTAAAAAAAGAAATCTATAAAAAAAAAAAAAAAAAACGTTTCTTCGAAGCTACGATGTTTTAGCTAACGTTGTCCTTACAATTTCAAAAAAAAATTTTTTTTTCTTTTTTGCAATTATAAAGAAATGAAAAATTTATGAAAATGCAAATTATAGGACTTTATTTTTATTTTCTATAAATACATAACTTTTACAATTATTTATAGTATTTTATTTTAAATTAAACGAAGGCTTTTGTTTTATTAATAAGCTGTGGCATTATAGTGGAACATGGCCCCCCCCATTAAATACTCTACATCACTTTGGTTATCAGTTATTCATATAAGGTGTTGGACTCGAACCACCTTTAAATTTCATCGAAATATCTCAGAAATTGCAGCCTTTACGTTGAACGCAAAACGAAGACAGGCGGACAAGCTTAGATCCATATAATAAAAGGTAGGTCTATCTCAAGTCCTTGTGAATGTTACTTGCATCCGAGTAAACTTTAGAGTGGCATCCGAGTAAACTTTACAGTGGTATTTAAGATTCATAAGATGGTGAAAATATTATTATTAACTGGTTTGTTCGGCTTGCCGGCACCTAAGTAAGTAAAAGAAGTAACACAAACATTCAGGTAAACCACTTCCCTAAGCACATTCAATATTTTCGACAAAATAATCCAATAAAATCCATGCTACAAAATTTGATATTCCTTTAGATACAAGCTAGTAAACAAAATATTTAGATTGTAACGTAAACTGTCTTACGTTATTTGTTGAAGTCTTTTTCAGATTAAGGTCGTACCGCTGCATTGTGATTTATAGAGAGAAAGCACGCCAGCTGAATTTGAAAATTCTTTAGGCACACTGGTATGAACATGTTTGAAAAAGCTTATCCGCATAACAGCTCAGTAGATAAAAATCGCGATTATAAAATCTCTTAATTTATTCAATTTTACAAGTTAGACTAAAATTAGACCGGCATAATTTTTTATCAAATTAAACAAAGCCCTCGACAAATTCCATGTTAAAAGGCAAAGCACAGAGTCGCCTATAATAAACAAAAAAATTGCCAAAAATGGCAGCTCTGTTAAATGGTTGAATCCCCAACTAACAACTTAAATTGCCAGATCGTTTAATTTGCAAAGCCGCCAGCTATATAAGTGAAAAAATCTATTAAATGCAAATAACAATGAATTTTCATTAGTGTTGTTAAGCTGCAAATGCGTTATAGCGTTTTTTATATTAAATTTTTACGATCTTAGAAGTGGCAACGCATTTGCAATAGAACAAATTAGCTTTTTTATATTGGAAAATGGCGTTTGTAGATTACGGGCAAGTTCGGAAGAATGAAAAATGCTGAGATTTGATAAATGACCTTAGGCTTAAAATGGACAAAACATCATTGAGGAAGTGTCTTGTATAGAGCTATGGTGGAGAAAAAGGATTGTCACTATCTATCGGATGCAGGCGTTACATGAAGTAAAAAAAACTATCTTTGAATGATAAAAAGACAGCATACGAGGACATTGTCAAATTTGTCATCACTACAAAAATTTCATGGCGTACGCTTTATATTTGCCTTGCGAGAAATTATATAGAAGGCAATTAGGAATTTGAAAGGTTTACAATTTGACAGATTACTGCCAAAAGAGAAACTTGTGGCTTTTTTCACCATTTCTTCAATTCTTCCTCTTATTTGTCTGTTAATAGTTTAATCACATATTTCAATAAATTTCAAATAAATTTCGTTTCTTACAATACAACATTAGTGTAAGATATATATAAATTAGACAAATAATTTTTAAATTTAAAATAAGTCGTTTGCTTTAAAGGAACCTTTGCAAATTTTTTTGGTCAATAAATCGAATTCCAAAAAAAGTCTTTTTTTTTAAATTTAGCTTAATAAGTATCTATTTTTATATGTAGGATAATACTATTAATTAAACTGTCAGTATATGTCGGTTTTTTTAAATATAGTTCGCAGTGTATGCTTCCGCTGTATATATATATATATATATATATATATATATATATATATATTTTAAAGATTTTTTCAAGGATTATGTTCACCAAGTGCAACTATGAGCTGCACAATGTGGTTAGCAGACTCCTCCGCGAGTATCCGCACCTGTGGCGTCCTCGGCGGGCGTCACCCAAAAGACTTTATAAAGAACTGGCGCGCAGGAATTAAACTGCAAAAAACTTGAGGCAGGGTCGGCCCATACCGCTCTTACCTCATATGTGTGGTGTACTGAAGGGCTGGGATGTAAGCAGGCAGCTAAAACCATGAGGAGACTTTTGAAAAGGCTGCTAAAGAAGAAACCCGTCTGGCGAAAGAGAAATTTTGTGGATTCGAAGAAGGTGAGAAGGTGCTGCATACATCCATGATAGTGGTGTTTTATTGGGACTGAGGCGTATGATACACGAACTGAAATTTGAAACTGTTTTAAAAATATCTTCAACTGCGACATCGCCAGGATCGACGACGGGGCGATCTACTCGACATGAAATGGTAATGCCACCAAAATCAATCGATAAAACACCTACCTCGTCGAAAAGAGGACTCTTGGACAAATTTCTAGAGGACTGTGGGAGGATAGCTACTAAGGACTGCGAGGTCCATAATGAGAACTACGACGGACCGTCTACGTCAGCCCAAGCTGTAAAGCAGTCAAATCATTCAAAATTCGCTCGACTGACCGGAGAAGACAGAATTGTACAGGTCCATTTTGACGAGGCGTACACCAACCTCGCGGCGGTGTACTCGCGAGCAGATGACGCGATGGGGGGTTGCGATTATTCCAACAAAAAGAAAAGGAAGACAATGGAACATCAACGTGTGTTGGTCTTCGCAGCACATAGTCTTCTCACTCCATTCAACGTAGTGCTGAACAGTTATCCCCGCACAACAAGTCAGAAAAAAATGGGGCCCGTCTGGACGTGAGGGCTGTCGTCTGCGACCGAAATCGAGCAAACTCACCGCATATCCAAATATTTCAAAACAACTTATACAATAGAAAGCGGGCAGACGGCAGCACACATTGCATCCGGCTTTTGTACGACTATCCCCATGTAGTGAAAGCAATACTAAATAAAATGGGGGAAGACAAAAACCATTTTGAATTCAATGTCTTGTCTATAGTGGCAGAGAGAGAGAGAGACCACGCAGCTTTTCTTGCTGGCAATGGAGCGGCTGGATGCCGGCCTACAGCAAGCCATGGGGGTTAGCCGTTTCGATGCAGACGATGAGCGATGTGCAGGTCGCAACACTCCAAGCGGCAATCGACAATCAAGTAATCGAAAACAATGACGGAAAAGCGTAAAATGTTTGCGACTTGACCACGATAATAACGAAGTTCACAAACGTCTTCCATCGGAAAACCATCAGCAGCGACACATGGATAGAGCTGAAAAAAGAACTGAAAGACGTAGAAGATTATTTGCAGAACAAATTGATTGCGGACCACCTAGCTGCGGACATCCACGCAACAATCAGGAACTTCAAAGCAATCATGGAAGAGCTGCTGGAGACTTACCCTGGCATAATCATCGCGCCATACAGGGTAAGCCAAGATCTGTTGGAAAAGTTTTTCAACAACATGGCGACTAACGGCAAGAGGATGTGCCGACCGTCCGTAGAAATAATGGCGCTCATCGAAAGACTAAGGACCGTACAGGAGGAGTGTTGGTCAGAAGGAGTCGAAGAGGAGAACGTCTACCTGCTCATCGATGAACTGAACTACGACCTTGAAGCGCCAGCCAGTGAAGAAGACGAATTTGTACCGTTCGCCCCTGATGGAGAAATATTCGGAGATCTGTCCATTCCGCCGTTAAACCAAAAACTTGAAGAGTTCCTGCGGCTGCTCACTGGATGTGGAATAGCACGCTACATTCGTGAGCAGCTGCAGTGCGAAAAATGTTTAGAGGAACTCACGCTGGACGAAGATGCCTTCTGCTATGTGAAACGAGGTCGCAAGGTGGCCAGAAATAAACGGAATAGCTTAACGTGGACTTCGAAATATCTAAAACCGCCCTTTCCAACAGAATCTGTCCATGAAGCTTTTCAGAAAGGGTACGAGATCTTCTACGCGACCATGAGGCAGCACGTGCTCGCAAAGAATATAGGCACGCGCATACAGGCAACAATATTGAGACGAATTACCTTTTTTCGAAGATCAGGATCATGCAGCAGAAGTGAGCTGCACCGGAGAAATTTGCTCGGGTTTGTGCTGGTAACATTACTGTCCGAAATAAATTTCAAAGAGAGAAAATGGACACCAACATCACGTGGTCGTAAGTTCCTCCGCGCGCCATCTCCACCCTCCTCGCAATATTCGTTGCATTGCATTTACAACTTATTTATTTAATTATTTATTTCAATTTAATTTCAGATTAAAACACAACAAGACAATAATAATCGCTCGGCATAAAAAGTAAAAGATTTTCTTTCCCGTGAAGGAAAAAGAAATTAATAAACTTAACCATTACTTATCTCTGCTCACGAATCAATTTCCCATTGAATCAAACTTCATTCAATGCTTGGCCGATAATCTTAATGCCGAGATAGTTTTGGGGACCATTACAAATGTTGAGTTATACCTATCTGTTTGTGCGCATGCGTATCAATCCTCACGTTTACGGAATCGAATATGCCGAGGTTATGCAAGATCCCTCCTTAGATACGTTTCAATCAGCGAACTCTCGATTTTAATGTCACAGATTTGGGTCGCACAGCTTCGCATTATTATATAAAATACTATACGCTAGAAATATTTAATGAACTTATAAAACCGTTTATGAACGAAAGTGAAATATTTGTAATGATGTCGCAATCCCAAGAGTTCCAGCAGCTCAAAGTACGTGATGATGAACTGGAAGAATTGGACGAATTGAAACGCATTTGTACGAATAGCACTTGGCGTGTCTTTAAAGAGTGTTTCCAATTATTTCCTGTACATATGTATATATTGATAATCTTTTATAGTGAACTTTCAAAGCATATGAATTCAAATTGGCCGATCGCTTATCTATACACTTTCATAGGTTTTTGCACATATTCTTGAAAGTCGTTTCGCAGCGCTATCTTGTCTCACTAAATCCTAGTCCCCAGATCCTATACTCATATTTATATGCATACGAATAAATAAATATATTTTTGTTTCACATAAAAGCTATAATGCGGAACAGTTACTTTCGATTAATATAAGAAATGAATTAAACCGAAAAGTGCTGTGGTTTAGATCAAGTTACTTTGCTACTTTGCTTTTTCTTCTTAACTTATTATCAAAAGTTGAATTTATTCTTATGAATTGAGTTGTTGGGATCGAAAATATCTATGTGGGCCTTCGTAACGACAGAGGTTTCGTGCAAAAAATTGAATGCACGGAAACTAGCTCGTTGCCTAAGCTGAACAATGTAAGCAATAAAAACGCAATGCTCACTATTCCGTAATCTCTGTTAACATCACAACAAAAACTTTTCTAGTAATGTTTTTGGACACCATCGGTTTGCTTCAATTTTTTGAATCAGTTTTTGCTTTTTTACTTTGAAAAGTCTTCTTGGTAGTACTTACTGGTTTTATTATACGGATCGATTCAAAATCATTGTTTTTTTTTTTTTTTTTTTTTTTAAATCAAAAAAAACTTATTGTTTATTGACCTTTTCTATTTATTAAAATTCAGCTGATGGTCGCTTTGATGGTTTTCAAGCTTTCAGAATTCTTGAATTGATACTGATGAAGATTATTTCGTAATTTGACGGCTTCAACTGCAGTTGACAAGATTCTCATCCAGTACCGCTCGAGATAATAATATGAAGAAAGCCTTTTGTAAAGAGTTTTTAAAATATTTGAAAAGGCGACGATTATCGTTAAGAGTTTTTCTCGGAGATGGCAGACAAGCGGATAGCGTAACTTATATAAAGGCATGAACATGCTTAAGATTACTCTGTGAAAACAATAACTGCGCTTACTCAACTTAAAAAAGATTACAGAAATGGCTACAAAATGCGACAGCCGGGACGTAAGAATTTCTGAATTTTACCAAAATCTAAAGGATAGTCTTTAATAACATAAGTCTCCTTCACAATAGGACATGCATCAGGATCGGGCGGTACATTGCGACCGGTAAGTTGAATAGTGCTATGAAAGTTGTTGCAAGTTTGGAATATTTACTAAAGCTGGGCCAGAAAATAAACATCAATGTTGATATAGAACAATTTGAATATGAATGCGGTTTGAATGTAGTCATTACACCGGAAGAAATTGCGAAACTGGTTCAAAAACTTATACAAAACCATACAAAAGCACTATTAGAGCAGCTTTATAATTTCATTTCAATGTTTGTGAGTTTATGGCCACCGACAGTTATGGCCAAGCTCTATCTTTCTCACATATGAAGACATTACCACCCAATTTACAATAGGTTTTGCAAATGCCCCGAACTTTTCGAAAGATACGACAACAATACCCACAGCCTTACACGTCATAAACTGAAAACATTTTGCTTTCCGTGTTTTTTTGTTCGTTACTCGTAAAGTATAACACATACAACCCATATAAGTTTCCACTTGTATTGTGAAAAATGAAAAAATCAGCCGAACCAGCAGATTTAGTCGTTATTTTAAGTTTAACGGATGATGCACGCGGATGGGCACAATATTCTTGTCGTTATATGTTTGAACGGGGTTTTGTTATTGTCAAGGATCTCTGAAAAAAACAGTGCAATGATTCCACTAAAAAAGAAAAAGTCACATGTTTTTCAATATTTTTTTTTTTAATTTCTTTATATTCTAAAAATCACTTATATATATATACATATATATATATATAAATATATAAATATATATATATATATATATATATACATACGAAGATGGATAATGCTGACAATATTGATGTTGAACATAAATCTATTAGTATAGGGATCAAAACATCTTTATCATCTGTGTATGGGAATGAGACGAAACGTGATACTATAATGTGTAGAAGTTCTTAATGGTTTATACGACAATAGATAGAAATAGGGGATTCAATAATAAAATATACAAAGTTTGAACAAATTTCTACTTGGGACAAGATGATTAAAAAAATAAAAGGTGCATTAAGAACAAAAAAATCTTTTTTAAATAATATTAATAAGAATAATAATAATTATATTAATGAAATAAAATCATAAAAGCCGCGTATAACGTACATTATATCAATTTGAATAAAATTAGCCCAATAGATATTGTTCTTCCGATTCAGCGGCATCAGGATCGACCTCTTCAATTTCGGCTTCGGCTTCTAATAGATCGGCAGGATCAATTTCTTCACCATACAATATTTCGCCCTCTTCTTCATCCATTTCGGGATTTTCATCTCCATCTTCTTCGTCCTCGCCCTCTATCATGATGTTTTCATCTTCGTAACGGCGCGTATCAGTCGAAGACATTTTATTTAACATGTGCGGATGTTTATTTTTCAAATGCTCCTGCATGTTGCTTATATGGAAATAGGCCATCGAACAGTAACGACAATGTATATACGCGCCATGCGGTAAATGTTTAAATTTGTGTACTTGTAAGTCACGCAATTTGCGACCATTAACATGCTCTTTGCACTCCAAGCATTGATGTAGCTTGGGTGAGATTCTTTTGAAATTTAGTACTGTACGATTGTTAAGTTGATGCTCAATGTTAATGTGTTCGCGCCAAGTTTGCGTTGTATCGAATTTAATGCCACACTGTGGACAATTTATGGTGAAGCAACTAACCGTATCGCTATATGAGTTAGCGCTGCTGCTGCTCCCAGCCCCCCCAGTATCGCGTGACGGCCACGACATATTGCTATTACCAAAATCAGCGCCATTACGCTGAACTAAAGCGCCACTCAAATCCAAATCATCATCAAACTGATCGGAATGATGTTGACTGCTATCTTGCGCCTTGCTACTCGAAAACTCATCGGAAGCATTTTCATTTGGATTAATGCCATTGCACTTATTGGTGTTTTTATCCAAGTGCTTAAAGAACATTTGTTTGCGAACAAATTCCCCCTGGCAGGCAGTGCAACGGAATGATTTGTAGGGCAAATGCCGGAATTTGTGGGACTGCAATTGGCCAATGGCCCCCTTTGTATGGGTAACAGTTACACGCTTATAACATTGCAAACATATATAGTGATGTTCATCTAGCTGGCGGAAATTCAGACCTTCTCGACTGTTAAGATTGTGCACCTCAACAATATGTTTACGCCAATAGACGTGCGATTCAAAATTTTCATAACATGATGGGCAATAATATGTGATGGTATCGTGATCGACTGCATTATGAAATGAAATAACATCCTCTACGGTCCTTAAACCCGGCGGACGAGAGCCGTTATTATTCGCACTACTGTTTTCATTGACCTTTCGACCAATCTTCGACGATGATGAGGAACTAAGCTCTTCGTAACCAACATTCGAGCTGTTACCACTTTGGCTATTTGCACCAAATTCGTAGGCCTCAATAATATTGTGTCGCTGTCGTAAATGCGTTAACATATTGGGTTTGTGATTATAGCTAGTGCTGCATAACAGACATTTCAAATATAATTTATAGGGGCAATGACGGAATTTATGATCCTGCAAGCCCTTCAGTTTAGAACTTTGTACGGTATCTTTGCAAACTTTGCATTGATAACGAAATCTGTCAACTGGACGAAAGCCGAGATATTCACGTTTATCAAAATTATGCTCGACATTGATGTGACGACGCCATAAAGCTTGAGTGCGAAACTCTTCACCGCACTGCGGGCATAAATAAATGAAATTAATTTCAATACTGGTATTTTCCTCGGGTTGTATATCGACATCACCAGTTGGCACAAGTAAATCGGCATCGGTATCGTTTGATTGATCATCGTCGTTAGCAGCTGTTGACGCGACCGTTTGGGGCTTATCGTCACCAGGTGAATTGTCGTACTCCATGAAGTCATGCTCATTTTTAATGTGATTTTGCAAAGCATTTTGCGTCGAGAATTGCGAGCCACAATCGACACACCTGTGTCTTGTCATTTGCTCTAATTGATGATTATTAGGTGAAAATTGTTTATCCGCATTCTCACCAAATTCCTCGTCAGCGTTGGCCAACTCTTCATCATCTTCGTCCAAATAATGTATTTCATAGGTACATTCACCTAAACGGACGACTTCTTTTTGCCCATACGATTTATGATACGATTTCAGTTTCGAACCCCAACGCATGACACTACTGTTTGCCACTGCCATAGGTGATGGTGATAGCATGCGTATAGGTACGCCTCTCATACCAACGCGATGTGAACTACGCAAATGTTTAATCAAACCTTTGCGATCAGTGTACGCTTTCCGGCATAAACGGCATCGAGCAAATGATTTGAATCTCATATGAGTGATGCGATGCTGTTGAGCATTTTGTATGCCATAAGCATTGGTTATAATCTTGTCGCATTCGCGACATCGTAATTGGCGATCATTCAGAACTTCAAAGTTTAATTTCTCTAAATCAGCCAACTGATGAACGTCCGCTATATGTTTACGCCATAATTTTTTATCGTTGTACTCTTTACCACACTGAGGGCACAAATAATCAATATGTTGCTCGAAAGCATCACGTTCGTCACTTTTCGACCGTTGAATTTCTTTAACATCCGCTGCACCCATACCACTATCATAATCTTCGAAATCTTGACTGTCTTCTTCGTTTTGCATGGAAACGGCATTAGTTGTAACGTTTGTGCACTTTGCATTTTCTCCGTGTAAATGATGCTTATCGTCCAAGTGCTTGGTTATATCTTTTTGCATGGAAAACGATGCAAAACATAATTTACACGTCAACCACTCTTTGTGCGGTAAATGAGTGAATTTATGCGCTTGCAAACTACGTAAAGCAATGGAGGGGATGATCTGTAAAATAAAAATTTATAATATAAAAATCAAGCATTTAATTAGGAGGATGGAAACGACAATACTAGCGTTATAGTATACCTGATTGCATTCTAGACAGTGGGCTTGAGAATTTTGTTCTTTAAAGTTTAAGGCTTTGTAAGAGCCAAAGTCATGCACAAATTCAATATGCTGACGCCACTGTGCTTGAGTTTCACACTCTGTGCCGCATTGAGGGCATAAAAACAAAATGTATTCCTCCAAGGAATCATCATCGACATTGACACTTGTTTTATTTAGCGGTCTTTCTTCAGCAGTTGATCCATTCGAAGAACCCTCGTCCAATAGAGCGGCTAAAGAAGATGTTGATGATTTAGCTGCCGGTTTTTTACTGACCGAGACCTGGTCGTCGTCAATCTCATTAGGGTCTATAAACTCATTTTTCACTTCGATATTATTATCCGCAGTATTGTCGAAAATTTCGAAAGCATTCTCTTTAACATCGCCAATAGTAAGACATGGTTTACTATTGTTATTGCTGTTATTTTCAGGTTTAACAGCTAAACTCGTTTTCGGTTTATTTTGATGTTCAGCTTTGATAGCGGCCAATAAGTCGTCCCGATGCATCATCCGTATGTGCACCATTAAATCTTGGCGATACTTGTACTGACGTTGGCAAATACTACATTTACTGCATCTATACGGCAGATGAGTAAACTTGTGTTTCAGCAAATTTTCCATGCTATGCATTGCGATACGTTTATTACACTCCATACATTGATGATATAATTTATCTAACTGCATAAAATTTAAGCCATTGCGCGTATTGTAACGATGGATAACATTTAAATGACGTTTCCATAACTCTTGGGCTTTGAATTCTTGACCGCAAGCGGGGCATATGTAAACAATTGCATCTTCAAACTTAATTAGCGAATGATAATATTGATCTTCGGCAGACAAAGGCTTAAAATCAGTGGAAGAGGTTTTAACAGTCGAATCTTTGCCGCCTGAAGACGCATCAAGTCCAAAATCAAATATTGTATTATCATCGTCGCAACGCTCATATTGTTGGCATTGAGTATTACTAAATGATGAATGATTCATGTAACCATAGGAGGAGCTTTGATCATCATTAATAATTTCTAAGGGTTCTACAGGCTCTTCTTTTACCTGCATATTTCGTATATTGGGTGTTGAATCGTTATATGAATTTAAAGAATTTTGTTCTTGATTCGCATTATTCGATACGTCGGGCATAAAATCATTGGTAAAAAGATGCCAAGGTTCGAGTTCATCCATTGTATTGCTTGCGAAATATCATACATACACACAAAATTGATGGAAACCTAAATCCAGTTATCTTGACGCCGACCCGACCCTCTCAGCTTTTTAGTCCCGCTATTGTAACTTGTATCTACTTTTACGCTTTTGACTTTTTTTTTCTTTTTTTTTTTCTTCGGAGATTCTTTCTCTTTGTGTGTTACATTCGCTGCTTTATAATAATTTATTAGTCTTCATTAGACTTTCAATATTTTTTAGGTCGCATTTCTTTTTTGAAATGCAATTAATCCCGATGCTTCTTATCGTTGCGTTAATGAAAAGAATATTTGATTAAAACACTTAAATTTAACATTTGTTTACGAATTTTTTCTTTTTTCACACAGAACTATTAAACTTAAATATTCTGAAAAATTCGCTTTCACCTTATTTTTCGCGTGACCAGTGTTACCAGGACGGCCATTTTTAAATTCAATTAATAGATGCATATAGTATACACAGAGATAATGAGGTATTAACAGGTATCTTCCCTTCCCTGAAGTTTTATCCAACTCGGGAATATGTAAATAAATGTGTATTCATTGTAACTCTTAGGTTTCTCCAAATGAATTTACATTACTTAGCATTGCCAACATAACGCAATTGATTTTATATTTATTAAGTGCAAGGCATAGTAAAAATGTAAAAATAATGGATAAGGTAATTTTTAATTAGGAAATACTGCGAAATGTCGTTTGCATTATAAAAATGAACTAAACTAAAATAGCATTTTGATAAAAAATCTGCAAGATACATTTGGTTCTCATATCCTACATCAATTGCGGTACAGGATATACCTGTTCCACCTACAGGTTAGAATTTTCGCTGTATGTTGATGGGACAATAGTACAAAGATTTGTTTTGACCAAAGGGTGAACGCTATTAAAAATTGTTCGGATCAAACCACTTCTCTCGACTAGTCTATTTGTAACGCCTTATTTTGAAAGGAAGATATTATAATATAAGAAAAAATATTGTAAAATTTAGAATTTCAAGATAAAAGTCCTTTAGCAACGATATTTCGACATTTGAAATTTACGTGAACATTTTGGATAGGACAATCGTTGCCTTTCTTCTTACGTCTGATCGGGGAAGTGAAGTTGAGGCTTTTAACCATTAGTTATAAGTGGAAAAAAGGTCGCCAACAGACTTCAAATATTGTCTTGATTTTACACTGTTTAAATTAAAGTCCACGCGGACTTTTGCATTGCACGAGACACGACAAAATCGACATTAGGATATAATTCAACGAAAATTAACTCCGACGTGAACATGTAATGTCTATAATTTTAAGCAAACATATAAAAATCGCGAATTTGTACTTATTAGGGATATGGTGGGTTTTTACAATAGGTTAAGGCTTTAGCAAGTTGGCAAGCGTGAAACTTATCTTCTCCTTCTTCTGTTATTCAGCTCACTAACAACCGAAGATTTGCTGTGATGTGTAAAAAACTCTCGGTGAGGATGAAACTTCTAGTTTGCAATTTCATCTTTAATAGCTTTTTATTTGACAGTGACATTACATGACAAGAATTTATACATTTTACCAATTGGAGTAAATTATTCCAAGCTCGAAAAAATGTTATCAACTTTTTCTTTTTTGTTTTTGATAATGGAGCGGTCGGAAATTCGTATTGCCATGAAGTATGAATTCTTACCTAAAACAACGGTATCGCAGACCGCGCGTAACATAAATAGTGCATTTGGTTCTAATGTACCTACGCAGCAGACAGTATCAAATTGATTTGCCGAATTTCGCATTGGTAACTTTGACCTCACAAAAGTTTTTATCACCGCCATTAGTCCAAAATGCACGGAAACACCTAAAATAATAAATATATTACAGGAGGAAAATGAAAAGAAAAATACCTTAGCGACATACCACAAAGTAACTCTGAAAATTGCCACTAATAAATATTATAAAAAACATTGTAACGTGAAACGAGGATGATGATATTACGATAGACTCGAATATCCCATAAATTAAATAAAAATGAAATTTTTTTCTACATTTACACGAAAATTTACTGAGTTAAAATGTTTCTACAAAAATAAGAAATTTACTGAGTTAAAATATTTCACTACTTTCTTCCTACACCAAACATTTCTAAGAAAAATACACCTGATTTTTCAAAGCTCTTCCACCAGTTGCTAGTTTGGACCTACAATTATATCTTTATATTAAAAGGAGCTTCTTAAGTGCCACCTTTGAGTTTGGGAAGAGGGTAAGTATAAACTATACTCAGTCTAAACAATACTAGTGGCCTCACAGTGATCGTGAACTTTTGGAGAATTTAGCAACTTTGGGAGAAATTTTTGCAAACACTCTCGTCTTCATTCATTGGTTGAACTGCAGATTGGCGCTTGGCAAGGAAGGAAGCTTGCCTATTGACATGCCACATGGAAACTGCGGTGGAAGCTGGTAAGTCCAATCACGACCCTTAGGAGAGTATGGTGGTAGCTGTGGTTTTTATCATTCTTAAAGCTAACAATTAAAGAGGTAATGACAGGACACAACATTCTCCAGAGTGGATATAGTGGTCCATACACAATAAAGATATCTGGTTGCTCCAGTGCAGTTATAGGGATTGTCTAACTCCCAGCAGGGCCGGTTACGCAAAATTACACCGTATACCCTTAGGTGCCGTGAGGCGAAGTTTTTGAGAGATACTCACGGCAAACAAAAGGAACAACTGTTCTAATTCAGACCTTTAGTCAAAAAGCAGTTCAACTTCCGAAATTGCAACATTTTCAGACATGTATTCCAACAGTCATTTTTCAAGTACTGAGTAGAGATTTTTAGTGTATAAAACTCCTGCCATTGTCTTTTTCCGCAAAACTACTTTCCATCTCAATTGTTTTCCAAGGTCTTTTTTCTTCTTCTTATTCTTCTATTCAAGAAATCAATCATGGGAAATGCGATAAAATATGTAAAAGAGTCTTAATGTGACCACAGGATTCATAAATCTGATCCATTCTTGAATCGAATAATCATTTGTGATGAGCAAACGTTCGGCGCAGTGGTTAGAGATATTTGAGAAATTTTGATGAAATTTTGTACAGTGAAGAGTTTTGACGCAAGGACGAACGCTATTGAAAACGGTTTGGACTGTGTCACGTTTTCGATTACTCTACTTAACTTAATTTAAATTTAACATACGGGATATTAAATTCCATTATTTTTCATTATGGAAAGCACAATGGAAACTTTAAAAAGTATATTGGGAAAAAATAGCCAGTGGTAATATCTACACGAGTCATATATTGATATTAATCTCTTTCCATCAATGGTGCCCTTAAGAAATCTACTCTTCCTGTTTGCGAAATCTTACGATTAAATGCTAAAACCTTTCGAACATTCAAAGATCCATTTTTGGAACACCTAAACCTCGAAGAACTTGTTGAAAATATCTGGAGAAATCAATATTAATAAAATATTTTATTTTATCTGCCTGAGTGCCCGAGTAGGCAAGAGTCTCGACTATCAACTCAATAGTCGTGGGTACAAATCCCAGAGTTTTTAATAAAGCCAAAAACCTTAGATGCTAGCGCTTTAAGACTTTGGTCTTAGAATTTAATTTCTGGCTAAATTTATAATAATAATAACAATAATAATAATGCCTTATTAAAACCAAAAAAAGCCGACAGCCTTACCTCCTCATACTCATCTTAATTTTTTGGACGTAGAGGCGTATACTCATTTTACCGCTCTGTTTGCAACAAGCAGCGGGCAGACCAAGGGGCCACATAAAGTACATATATATATATATTCTTGATCACCATAAAATTCTCAACAGATTTAAGCAAGTCCATTCGTCTGTCCGAGTATACTCTGTGATAAACACTCTCCTGATCGCAAAAATGCAGCTATCGACTTCAAATTGGGCAGAAATATTAGAAATAAGTTGATATTGGATAACTGACCCAAATCGGTCGAAGTACTCGCCAACAGTACTACGTAAAATGAGAAAACGTCTTCGAAATACAAAATTGGTTTTTTAATCATTACTCATAAAGTCTTACAAATAAAACTACAAAGATTTCAACGTATATTTCATGGGCGATGCTATAGTACATGCAGACAAATGGAGAAAGTTGCCCACGCCTCCCCAATATGATAGTGTGAAAAAATTCAATTATTGTTTTCATTGCCTTTATAAAACTCAGCAACCAGTCTTGAAAACTCCCTAAGATATACAAATCCCTGGCCAATTTCAAATTTGAAATGCACCTAAGTGTGTCCCTCTGTCCATCAGCCCAAATGTGTAGTATCTGTGATAAAGATTCCCACCTTGTGGCATCCTACATTTTAATATTAAAACTTTACTTATCTTAAAAAAATTGTCATTAAATTTAAAGAGACAATAATCATAATAGATAGAATGTAATACAATCCATTAACATTTCCAAACATTTTTCATATAATTTTATTACATAATTTCTGTTTTTAAAAGAATTGAATATATAGTTTTTAAATTATGTATTTGTATGTTTGTGTGTGTGTGTATGTGTGTGCCGGGGTATTTATTTATGTTTGTGATTTGCGTTCTTTTGTTTAAATAAAATTTGTCAAATTTTTCTTCTCGTGATGATTTTTTTAATTCTAATTTTTCTTATTCATAAAAAGAAGACATAAAAAGAAAAGAAAAAAAAGTACATATTCGCATACATTATCATTATTGTAATCAGATTGTAATTGATGTAAGAAAATAAACAAATAAATAATAATACGCTCTTAAAACTTCAAATTAATTTACACGAAATTACGAATGTATATAAATTTTCTTCTTTTTTTTTTTTTAGATTTGTAATTGTATATGTGATAAAAGTGCTTAATATAATGTTAAGCACATCGTTTTCAAGATAATTTGTTTAGTGTAATTGATATTTAAATCTAAGAGTAATTATCTTGTCAGAATTTCTTCTCCCAAATAATATAAAAACTTCTATTAAGGAGTAAATAATTCTCCCAATTTTGTTGTCCTTATATCAAAAAGCCAAAAAAGGTTTCCTTTACTTTTGTATATTTTCCATATTTCTTCTTTTTTATTAATATCATTATTATTATTATATATCATCATCCTTTACTTCTCATCATCTTTTTTTATTTTTTTTTTTTTGCCTTTATAAATAATTTAATAATAAGATATTTTTTCTTTTCGATTATATTAAAGCAAGTTTACAATAATTTCGTTTTTCTTAGTCATAAACTTGTTTCAGTTTATCTTGTATTTCTTTCCATTATCGCTTTTTTTTTTCTTCCTCTTGTTTTTGTTGTTATTGTTTCTTTTTCTTGTGATTGTGTGATAGAGAATTCATTATTATGCTTAACATGTTAATTTTGTTTGTATGGAATAAATGAAAATGAGCCAATTTAAGAGACAACATAAAAAGCGATTATGTATTATAGGTTAGAATTACACCTTCAATGGATTTCTTTTTATTTTTAATTATTTTTTAATCTTTTGTTTTTTTTTTGGCAAATCGTACAGGGAATCTATTTTAAAAGATTTTTAAAATTTTTGTCAGAGTTTATGGCGAATGCACTACGAAGCGGCAAAATTTAAGAGTTTGGAACTGAAGCTGTACTAATCTGTTTTAATTAAAATGAAGATATTTAATCCAAATCATTATTGAAAAAATCCATATCTCCAAATCCGAATACATTAGGACGTGTTATATTTATCTGACTAGGTGGCGCACTAGCACCATCATTACTGGTATTGCTATTTGTTGTTGTATTATTACCATCCAATGTAATATCACTATCGACGCTTAGAGCACCTTCCTCATTCGATAATTCATGCATAGGACAGGTATCAATATCAATGCCGCCTTGTTCTCGTTGCTCCATATTAACATCGTTTTCCTCGTCGTCTCCATTTAACGATTTACGACATATAGGACAAGTTCCATGCAAATCTAACCAGGGTACAATGCAATCCTCATGAAACAAATGCGAACATGGCAATTTACGTACTATTTCCTTTAACTTAAAATCTTCCCAGCATACAGAACATTGTAGTTTACTATCTACGACGTCTTTGGTTACCTCAACTTTGGGTATTTCGTCAATTTTATGTCGTGGCAATGGCGGCGGACCTGAGGTTTCCATTTGATTTAATAATTGCGTAACAATCGTGTCCAGACCTTCGCGACCCCAAGCATAATCACCCAAATTGCCCATAAAGAACATCTGCGAGCCGCCAAATGTCGGCATTTCGGTTTCGCCAGATATAGACAGCAAAAAGTTTAATAAGACATTATCAAAACGATCTAAATTCTGAGTTCGTACTCGTCCATCCTCGTTTGGATTATTAGAGCCATTGCCGGCTACAGTAACTAAATTACCTCTAGTGTTCACACGACCATTACCCGGATCTATGGAGATTTGCAAATTGGGCCCGTTACGCGAGGCCAATAATGTAGCCAATTCATTTCTTAATACATCCATATTCAACGGTAATGGTTGCTCGTCATTACCACCAGCAGCGGCGGCATTAGTTGAGGTACTCGGAGCGGGAGGCGGCAATTCTTCGACAAAACCTCCAGCACATAAAGGACATGTGAAATCCCTGTTTGGTGTGCTTATTTCAACATTACACATATGACAATAGAAACGCGCTGGCACAGCAGGCCGTTCCTCCACTACCGCTTCAGCCATTCGACCGCGACCGGATTGAGATGCTCGTCGGCTAGTCCGGGGGGTAGTTTCGGATGCTTTTTTATTATTCCGATTGGACACCGTGAATGCTAATATACTTCCCAATATATAAAAAAGCAACAACAAAAAATTGAATAAAGTTACTATATAATTTCTAGTTTCTACGTGTTTTTTTTAAATATTTCTTTTTGTTTTTTTATTTGTCTTCTCCTCGACGTTCTGCTCTTTTTGTACTTAGCACACACACCACCTTTTGTTGCCTTTGATTTTTTACAGTTTCACAACCCGTTTATAAGTTTTCTGCCTTTTTTTTACATGTGTCTCTTTTCTTCTTTTTTTTTTTCTTTGTTGAAGGTTTAGACTTAACTATTAAATGCGTTGCATTCACGTTGTTAGTGTTTTAATTAAATTATGTTTACCTTTGATTGTCCGAAATATATATAACTGTAAAAATTTTTTCCAATAAAATTTCCAATTTTTTTCTTTCAATAATTTTTTTTCTTTTCTTATTTCTCTTTCGTTTTGCAAAAAGCACTTTTCGGTGCTATTTTTTTACTCTAAATAATTGTTGCCATATACTAAACCAAATTACATATTAGCCGAATGCCGTAATGAGCGGAAAGGTAGAATAAAATCCTATTGAAATTTACTTGAGATAAATTTTTATACCCACCGTAGGAAAGGCTTGCCACATTTCCGTAGCGACCAAAAGATGAATTACAGATTTTTAATCAAATTCTTACATATCTTTATTCAATTTATCCGTTGCATTAAGGATCAAAATTTTCAAAAATTTTGCTTTGATTTCAGTTAGGGATAATTTAAAAACCAACCAAACTTTTTCGAAGGTTTTTAATTATTTACCAATTACCAGAAAAGCACATATGGATATAAATACGTATTAGTTTCTGTAATAAAAAATGCATATAAAAAATTGTTTCACGATATTTAACGTTTTAATGTAACTACGATTTATTTTCTAAACAGATATCGTATGTAAATTTGTCTTATTTTTGCTTTCCAATCAAATCGATGACAAATTTTTCTTAACTTTTTCCTCAAATGCTCTTGTAGATGGCGTTCAGGATTTTGGATTGCCAGATAATTCAAGATAAAGAGAGAAAGGGCATCATATCATTTACAATATATATCGTAAATTATTTCCTATATTATCTTAACATTAAATTTATCGACGTTTTGTGTATGCATGTTTTTACCGCAACTTTTCAATTTAACGGGTAATTTTTGTGGATCACAATCGCAAAAATAAAAATAAAAAGTTAAAATTTCTTAAAATCTCCTCTCCAAGATCTTTTCCAATATTAAGTTCGAAATAAGTATTTTTTTCAGTATTAATTTCGAAATAAGTACTCTTTTTCACTATTAAGTTCCACCAGACGGCGATGTCTACATATTTTTATTTAGAATTAATCCATTTTTAGGCAGATAATCTTTATTTCAGGGACGATAATCTTTAGTTAAGGGATGTATAAAATAGTTTTAAATATTCTATGTTGTTTGCCTTATGATAAATAAGCATAAAACCTCAAAAAAGTGGAAACCTAAAATTTAAGGAACTAATGTGTATTGCAATTCGATTGAAGCCGTTTGCAGTCGGAGAATATCGCATATTCTATGAGCGATGCGTAGTGCAATTAAAAGAAAATAAAAACGAAGAGTTAAGTGGTTTCATGGTGCAACAAGTTAAAAGCTAGTTAAAGCTAGCCAAAGAAAAGAATATTTTAATTCATATATGTATTCATATACTATCATATGAATTTACCTACAAGGAATGTAGAGTGCTTTAAAGTAAATTGGAAATCAGAACTTAATTTTTTATTACTTTCTAAAAAATGCTTTGTTGGAAATGATTTTATGAAGGTTTGAATTTTCGAATAAATTTTTACTTTTTAATTAATTAGTAAAATGAAAAACGAAACCAAACCCGTTAATTTAATTTATTGCTTATACTCTTTCTTTAGATATTGTTGCTTCGGCTTGGTTTGTCCTTCAGTCAGCCTTATTAATTTGGTGCAGGAAAACAAATCAACTTGCAAGTGCAGAAGCTACACCATTTCTGGTTTCTTCGCTTATTCGAATCAATTGGGCGGACTCTATCATAACCTCGACACCGTCATCCCAATCAGTTCCGGGTGCTGAAGAAATGAAATCCCCAATTTCAAAATCTTTCACTTTATAGTGTATGCAAATGTTGTGAAGCGCCGCGCAGACGGTTGCGAATTTGCCCATTTTTAGCGCATTGTACCTGCTCTTCCGGTCTTCCATGAAAATGCGCCAACGACCTTAGAAATTGAATAGAGACTTAGCTTATAGATTATATATAATAGTATAGCATACCTTTATATAAATCGATACATCTGTTCACAATGCTTCTGGCCTGAGAATGAATGTCGTTATATTTTCTTTTAGTTGGGTCGACTGCATTTTTATACGGCGTCATTAACCATGGTTCCAAAGGGTATCCACTACTACCTGAAAGATTTTGAATAATACAGTTACGTAGCGTTTCACACTATCTTGCTGCTTACCAAGGAGCCAACCATTACTTTCATTCCTATTCCAATGATCTTTCAAGTAAGCCCTTTCATTGGAATGATTCCACACATGCGAGTCGTGGGTTGATCCAGGAAATCCAAAATTTACTCCTATAATTTTCATGTCATGGTCGCAAACCTTACATATAAATATATATACGAATATTTGTGTAAAAGTGAAAATGTGGATTAACATACCACCATCCCATTCACGCTAGCCTTGCCACTTGGGTTTATAAAGCTTTCTTCAGCTTGTGATGTCTTACGAAAATAAATGTGGGTTCCACCTACGCATCCAATCACTTCAATAAATACATGGAATATTTTAATCTTATCTTATTATACAGCAAAGTATCACAATTGTAACCAAAAGTTGCTTACCACCTGGAATACCAAATTCTTTGTAGAACCACCTCTTTGTGTCGGCATTAATATTCAACTGAATCCATTCTGAGCAAAGTTTATCTTCCAGTTCTTGTATCATTTCTGACACAACAACAGAAAAGGTGGCCTGTGCAACGGTTGAGCATAAATCGCTACCCGCCAACCGTCCATGACTTCTAGATCCCAACAGCTCCAAAGTAAGCGCTAAACGGATCACCGGAGGTGTATAGGTTCTCCTTATGCCGTCATTCGCGCCAATTTTCCCTAAGATGTATTCAAAAGCTTCTTTTGATACCCGAAACTTCTGCAAAAATCTACAAATAGCAATATACATTTGTAAACACATTATTCAGAAATACATAAAATCATTTACTTACACCTCTTCGGGTAACGTAAGAGGATTTGAAGCGTCTCGCAGAGCTCTCCTTCGCCTTGTAAGACTTCTTTTCCGCCAATCTGGATGCTCTCCTACCGCAAAATAACTCAAAATGAGCAAAGGAATCATTCTACCCGTTGAATATATATATACCCATCAGCCATCGCTCGATATTTAATAATCATACTTAAGAACATTTTAATTACCTCTCATAAATTTGAAATTTTTCGTTTTGCTTTAGCTTTTTGTAAGTAAAATAATTTTTTTCTTCTCCTCCTTCTTAAATGTTGAACAAAAACTTTAATTTACTTTCGTCTTATTTCTTATCCACGCTCCGTGGAGAGTAGGAAAACCTTTTTTAGAGTAAAATTTGCGTTCCTGCTCAATAAATAAATAAATAAATAAATAAAATGGTCAATGTGTTTTATGTATAAATTCTTCGTCTTCTTCTTTTATTCACCAAATTAATACCCGAAAATCCATTGAGATGTGTAAAAAATGTCTAATGTGAACACAGGGTTATTTGTTTGAACCTTAGTAAAATTAGAAATAGTTTGTTAAATAATTATTATTTATAAATAAATATTATTTATTTTATTAATTCCTTGTATTTCGTAATGAAAACCAAATAACTGATTAATGTTGTCACGTCTGTCACGTTATTATTCTAAATTTTATTAATATATGCATATTACTCACGTAGGAGGGTTCAATTTCGCACTGTAAGAAGTAATGTAGTACAGAAGTACAAAGGTCCATAATTTGGCTGTAAACACTTATATATCTTGATGACATCATTTAAAATAAAAAAAGATTGCAAAGTAAGCTGCTCAATTATGGGAATGCGGTCATTAAGAAGGCCACGTATAATCAATTTGCAAAATGTGGAATCGCGATTAGAAGTAGAAAACTTTCGGACAGACAAATAGAATATGATTAGGAGATTGCAATGCCCTACTCACTATGTTAATTTTGAATGGATGATTATTAATCCAATGTGCTTAAATATCAGCTAGTTAATAATGTCATGTCACATCTGAGTTCGCCATTGATAAACCAAAGAGCTTTATTTAATTGTGGGATTAAAGAGTATAAGTGACGATCACAAGGTGAATGATTTCATCCCTGTTGTCAAGAAACCGCCCCATACCCTTAAGCTAATAAGCGACAAATTAAGAAAATATATGCCGACTTATCGACTTGCTTATGTTATTGTCTTATCACTTAATTTATGTTAAAAAATATTGTTGAATATTGTGGACTTAAAATCGAAGACAAAACTTTTTTTTTTTAATTGTTAAAATGTTCTTTATAATGCCAATTTGTTTGTAAACAGCGAACATTGCATCTGAGGCCGAAAGCTAAAAGATGAAGAGATGTTTTGTTAGCAAATAAATTTTAAAAATTTTCATAAATTTTTTCAGTAATTAATATAAACTTCATATTTACAAGGCGTTGGTGGTGTAATGGTTAGCATAGTTGCCTTCCAAGCAGTTGATCCGGGTTCGATTCCCGGCCAACGCACACGTTATTTTTTTATTCAGTTTGCTGAAAGTATTCTTTAATTCAAACTAAATACAACCTAACAGGTTTCTCCAATCCCCTTAATTTAAGCTATATATATAGAATATTTTTAAAAAACTGCTGAAAAAAAACAAAGCTATAAAAACATTGCACTACTTCCCCCAAAAACAGTTATTCATGCAAAGACTTTTTAAAGTAGGGCAAGTGGCCAAAAAAATGATGCGATCCAATAGCATTCGCTAGTCTACCAAATTCCATTAGAATAGTTTAAAAAATTGCTGCAGGTTACATGGAGAGATACCAGACAGGCAGAAAAGCGATTCAGAAAGTGATACTCGATTGATTGGTATAGCAAAAAATGGGTCTGTCTCAAGTCCTATTATATATTGTACACATTCGTGCAAACTTAATATTCCCTTGTACCACAAGTCACGTTAGGTTTAAAGAGGAATATTATAAATTAAAAAAAAAAAAAGAAAGATTTATGAATACTGCTCCGCAAAAATGTTCTACGACCGAGGGTTCAAAACGCGTATAGGGATTTAGTATAATTAATATTTTTTTTTTGTTAAATAACTTATTATTCTTTGCCTATTTTCATCATAAAACAGCAAAACTTATACTTTTCTTGCTATATGCTAGCTTACCTTTCATGAGAACTCTTATATTAAGTGATAAGAATTCGAAAAGTGAAACTGTTTAGCTTAAACTTACCAAAAATTTATTTATCAAATAATTATATGGAGGATGTTATCATATAAGGATTTATATTCTGTCAGAAGTACCGATATTAAAAATAACGCATGTTTTCCTGTAATAATTTCAAAATGAGATCTTATATACGAAGCGGTCGTGAAAATAATGCAATTCAATCCATGGGTTAAATCGGTTAGCTTTTCAGGCTAAAAGATGCCAGAGATGAATTTACGAGCGGACTCGGTATCGAATTTGTATTTTCCATTGATGGTTCTCGTTAACGAGAATTGAGTTGATGGTTGCCGATAGCGTTACTTTGTTATATACACAGCGATCATTGTAAACACAATGAACATGGAGTCTAAAAATGAAAAATGAAATGAAATGGTATCGTAGGATAGCTCGACAATGAGAACTATAGATCGGCTGCAGTTTAATAAATTTCATCAAAATTTGTCATAATATTTGCAGCTTGTTGATTGAACACAAGCTTTAAGTTCAGTCAACAAAACGAATTTGGGCTCAGTATATACTCCTCGATATCGAGTAAACTCGATCGTCTTTTTTACATATGATACTCGATAACAATTTTATGAGCCAAAAATTTTTCATTCGATGGGAATAAAAATGCATGTCTCTCGACAGCTATAAACTCTGTTTACTCGGCATCGGGAACCATAAATGTTTCCTGGATAGATTCGTGTAAAGAAAGAATGCCTTGGCGTTTTGTTATAAAATAAATGAGGCTATGTAATACAATATAACCTCACTTTATATTCATTTATCCTTTTCCATGTTATAAGGCATCACAGCATCGATGATAATTATTTGAATTTATTATTATCGCCAACGTTTTCAAATTTCTAAGATTAAGTAATCTTTTTAAATACATTAATTTTATAAAGATATCCAACTTCAACTTCCCTTTGAATACGAAGCTCGAATAGCTATTTTGCTTACGAGCTAAAAATTGATAATTTACGTTCGATATCGCAGTTTTCGTTACAAATATTGTGTTCTAATCTTTCGACACAACTTAATAACACCAAGTAAGAACATTATAGTCGAGCGATGCTCGCACTTCGCTTTCTGCAGTTATTCGCTCGTTTTGGTAAAATTACACCAAAAAGTACGTATTATTTTCATTCAAGGCCATAATTTTCATGAAAGCCCACATATTGGAACGTTAGATTTTCTATCTACATAATATCCCTAAGATTTTCTATTCATTAAAAATAATTCGAATTTAATAACCCAGTGATCCAAATTCTCTAACGTTAATTTTTCATTGCTGAAACGCTCTTATGAATTATTAAGATATCATAAGATGTCTAATATGAAATGGGGCCAAGAAACAAACCCATGTGGTTGAAATTAGGTCCATTTAAGTTTTTTATTTAACGATAATCATGAGCAAATGTAAAAAAAAAAAATTAGCAATTCGACTTTTTTGGCGCATAAGGGTTTAGGTTTCCAGACCTGCATTGCAGAGTAGATTTCTATAATAAAAGCCTTCTTATCTTAAGCCTTCTGCGTGTTATACACGTCCGCACTAACTTGATATACCCTCTACCACAAGTGGTGTAGGGCATAAAAATTACAAAAAGTAGTCGGAGCGTCCTAGAGGAAGGTTCCATTTGTAATTGAACTTAATGTATCTGACCAAGCTTAATTTTCCTGCAGAAAACCTAAATATTGTAAGCTTACTTAAGTAAATCCAACAGATAGATAGCAGGAATCCCTATATAACTTAGTATAGCGCTAAATGAACTGAGAACTATAAGAAGTGCCGCGCACTTCAATGGGTTATCGGGGAGTTTTTTCCTCACCACAGACAGTGAAGAGAATTGCTGATAGGATTCGTTAAAGTTCTTACATATCATCCGGTGGGTTGCAGAAAACTCGAAATTTGTTCGACATTGAGGTAATCTAATAAGCTCATAGTGTCTTGAGGTCCGTTTCGGAATATTGAAGTCTACCATGATTAGCAGGTAGGTTCTCCTCACTGGAGCTAATAGATGAATTAACCTTTACCGAACGAGCGCAGTGTCTAAAACAATGACCAATAGGTCAATGGATTTTTCTCTTCTTCTTCTAATTAAGATTAATGTATTTTCGCTCAATATTCGAAGAGGAATGCTTCAGATCGCGTCAAAAAAACAATTGCCGATAAGAGCTAAGAAACCAAAAATTTGCGAAAATTCGGAAAGTTAAGAAATTCCCATAGTATTTTTATTTATTTTTAGGTTTTTTTCTCATTTTCTCCTTTCTCTTAATGAATCTCTTCGCATATTTGTTTAAATATGAATCTCGTCTCGTGTGAAATATTTTACTTTTATTTATTGATTGCATTCTAAACGCCTTTACTGCTCTTGTTAATCATAATTTTTTCCTTTTTTTTTTGTTTTTGTTTTTTTTTTTTCATTAATTTCTAAAGCGCTGTTGTTGTTGTTGTTGTTGTTGTCATTGCAACTTAATCGCTATGTTTCAATTTTTACCGTTATAATTTATTTTCATTATGTTAAAATACACATTTCCTTATAACTAATAGTTATAATAATAATGATTAATAATATTATTAAAGTTTTTTTATTTTTTTTTTTTATTTTTTTATATTTTATTTTTTTTTATTTTTTAAAAAACTAACGTTTTTTTTATAAAAAAAAAAAAAAAAAAAAAACGAGTTTACTCCCATTAGTTATTTATTATTTATTTATAGGACACTTATTACATACACAACTAGACATCTCAGCTACACGTAGTTTAAATACTACAAATAAAGTCTACAAGAAAGAAAAAAAAGAAAAACGGGGAAAAAAAAAAGAAATAAGAAAAAGATCCACATGTACTTACATATACATATCGATTGTGTATATATATTATTTATATATTTATTTATTTATTTTTATTTTTTCCTTTCCTTGTCTTTAGGTATATAAAATTATTTTACAAATGGAAGATATTTTAAATGAGAACTATATTATTGAGTATACAATATATATAATATGGATTGATTGAGGAAAGATAAACAACTATTCATACATATAAGAGTATAAGTAATGATTTTATGTATATATATATATATATGTATCTGTATGTAAAATGTTAAGCTTTGCCTGTTTATGTTATGTTTTTATGTTATGTGGTATGATTTTAAAAAACACTGCTGCCATTTTACTGTTTTTTTAGTGTTTTTGACAGATATGATAAAAGGAAAAATTTTTGCGAAAACGTATTCTTCTTCTGCTGTTATTTAGAATATTAAACACCGAAAATTCGCTGGGATGTGTAAAACTAGAAAACAGAAATAAATACGAGAACAACATAATTATATTCGTCTTAGTCCGAATTTTGTAATACCCATCACCAACTTTGAAGCGATATTCACTCCATATATCGTTTATCGTTAATATGACTTGGCAGCACTTTTCAGAGAACGTCCGAAATTTAAAAATTTATGCTCTTCTAGACTGCCCGAGAACCACATGGTCTCTTGTTTAGACCGACTTGGTCTCCAATTCAGGAGATTTTCGATTTTAACCCCATACCTCCATTATGGCAAATCGTATAGCTCTCTACAGTAAAGCCTTCATAGTTTCGAAGCGATAAATTAGTTTGAAGAAGTAACTTTCAGTCATTTTTTGATTGTTCGAGGCGGGTCCTTCAAATGTTTTAATTAATTCTTGATTTTAAACTGTCAAGTGATCGACAGTCTTCTTTTCCGATATTAATCCCATATCTTCACTACTGTAATTGGTCTAAGGCGCCATTTCAAAGTGATCATTTTGAAAAAGGATCAATTATGCATTTTCTAATTGCTGTAGGCGTGCCCTTCGAATGGTTATTTTTTTGACTGAGAAGCGATGGAAGAAAAAAAACTGGGAATCATGATGGTTTGGCTTCGTAGTCTCGATTTGAGTGGATAGAGAGTTGGGTGGGCCTTACTAAATAGAATCTGTTGTTCAGAAAAAAAAGTTGAACATCAACCCAATGAACATCTCCCTGACACGTTCACTTAACATTGTCACTGAAAACTGTGTTTCAAAATTGAACTGTTTATGCTGCCTTGAAAGTAATTGCCGTAAAGTTTAAACCGAGCCGTTGACCAATTTTTTAACCCTGAACTACTTCTCCCTTTCATTTTTTGTTTAAGTTAATCAGTCAGGGCACGCTCGCCGAGCAAATTTTTAAATGTTACCGACCGAGCGCATTTGCTAAAACCTGACCAATAGTTCGCAGATTTTTAAGAAATTGAAATTTTTTATTTCCAGAACGAGAAAGGGTGCATAATAAATATCGCTTTATTGGGTTTTATCATCATGGCAATCATTGTGTTCAGCACTTATGCCGACTAAGCATGTATACTTAATGCGAGTCGATCTCTTAACCTTTTGTACTCTTATGTCGACATGAAGTTGGGCATTGCATTTCTTACACCAATTCCCGTGTCGAAATGGTACACAGAAAAAAAAAATCACGATTCCAAAGTGTTAAGTGCCTTAGTTAATCATCATAGTCATTTTACGTCGAAGTTTTGGTGGTGGGTACAAACACTTTTACGCTTATGCATATTGTAATGGAATTGATCAAAAAAAAATACATATGTATTTATATGAACATATACATATATACATATACATATATATATATATGTAAACATATATAGACAACAATAAAAACTTAATAAATAAAACGTATACATTAGAAATTACATAAATATCTTCTTTAGATGGGTCATGAAAATAATAAACGAATTATTATTCAATTCTTTGCAAAACTATCACAAAACAAGAAAGAAGCCTTATATTCGACTAGTGCCGAGCCCTTTTAACATCCACCACTAATATGTTTACTAAATTTGATTAAAAGAAGAGCGAAGGCGAAGAGCTACAATCGTCTGTACAGTGTAGCGCATGGGTAGGTAGCATCTTGCCGGTAATTGTACAGATCCTGGAAAACTATACTATATATAAAACTTTTTAATAATAATTTTTTTTAGGACAGTATTCTCGGGATTTCTCTGTTCAAGGCTTAACGGACCTGGTCAAAGCATTTTACCTTGAAGCACTTTAAAGCTAAGCTTAACGAGTTTAACATTTTTGTGTTCATAATCGAGGAGGACAATTAGGAGTAGTACTAGGAGGATGTGAATTGGAAGACCCCATGAGTTATGAGAGAGAGAGAGTGAGAGAGAGAGAGAAAGAGAGAGAGAGAGAGAAGAACGATGCGATAGATGAATATCGCTGAATCGGTTTTGCTGTTTCTTCGATGAATGCTTCTATGTCTCGTCTAACATGTATTCTGTCTGTAGTGGGCGTGAATTAATCGATAAATAGATTCGATATCTTATGTATTTATATGTTATTTTGTAGGTCCTTAATTTTTTACTTTCAAAAATGCCAAGTTCAAGTATGATAATAAAAATCTTAATTTATAAGGCTAATAAATACAATAGTAGTAGTAGTAGTAGTAGTAGTAGTAATAGTGGTAGTAATAATAATATTACTCATATATATGTATATATACACATCTATGTCTGTGTAGATATATTATTACAATTAGTATATATCGTAAATATATGCTTAAATAAAACCGAAAGTTTTAAAAATAATTATATAAGAATATTTGGAGAATTTTGATTTAATTTGTTAATTTTTTTTTTTTTTTTTTTTATAATTTATATACAATACAATGTTAAAATCATTTCGTATAAGTATAAATATATATATGTATAGAAATTTGCTCATTAGTATTTACTTTTTCTTATAAAATAAACGCAGTTTTATTTTTAGAAATTCTTTTTTTTTTTTTTTTTTTTTTACAATTCAATAATTAAAAAAAATTGTAATGAAACAAAAAAAAAAAAAAGTTTTCTTTTTCTTTTAAGTTTATGTAAAATTTCTGTATGTATTTAATTACTACTTTATTATTATTATTTATTTTTATTGATTTTTAATTCCTTTCTTCAATAACATTTTCAATTGGTTTATCATAAATATTTTCATATAATGTTAAATTAACGGTTGCATTGTTGTTGTTCCTGCTCCTGTTGTTGTTGTTGTTGCTGCCGTTATATTGTCTATTTGATTTACTGGACGCCAGCTATTGTTGTTGTTATTGCCGTTGCCAGTTAAAAGTTTATCCTATTCCGCTAAACGCAGCCTTTTCGATGAAATGCAACCATCATCGTTATTATCATCCAAGCGTATTAAACCGCCCGCACTTGTTGATCCCCCACCTCCGTTACTGTGGTGGCTACTGCTATTACTGTTACTATTTATGCTTAAAGCTCCTGCCGAACCGGTACTTTTACGACCACCATTCTCCATCAAAGATGGGGACGGAGCTCCCGGTGCTGGTGATGCTGACGTTGAAGCGCCGCCACCGCTATTGCCATTACTTAACTGCATTGCATTGGAATTATTATTAAGTATAGCAGATGAATTATGATTTATATTTTTATTCTTCACATAATTCGGTAACCATTTGGTCAATTGTTCTTCAAAGAAACTTTCCAAATATTTGGCATTTGTATAGGTCTTGGAGTCCTCCTATCACAAATAGATATAAACAAAAAACAAAAAAAAAAAAAATTTACATAAAAATATTTAATAATCACCGCGAAATATATATTATTCTATACATATGACCTGTTTATTGTGAAAGTGACGTAAGTCTATTTACGTTCAAATTGAGATATTTCAAGTTTTGCGGATGTAAATCTATCAATACAGTGTTTAAAAAATATTTTTTTGAATTGCTATAAATAGACTTGGGCCACTTTCAAAATAAATGGCTCACATATTATAAGTTGCTAGCTAAAGTGAAATTTAATATAGGTCTAGAGGTGAGAAAGTTATCGCATTTCGTTTTGGGTTCGAATCAATTAATGCTTTTAGCTTTAGCTCGCGTACGATATTTGATTTGAATAATATAAAGCGCGATATATTAAATGTCTCTATTACGATATGATCCGGCAGCATTTTCTAGCTAACTATACTAAATAAAAATCCTCCTCATCAAGTCCGTCTTATTTAAACATATATGACTTTCTAATAATCGTCGATGGGCAGTTGTTCACAGTTAATTGATAACCCCCCTGGCATCACTCAGAAACATTAGAAGTTCTTGCACGCAGTTTGACATGGAAATTCCTCTTTTTCCCAAAAGATATATAAAAATGGTTTTTCAAATGCACCTAAGTATTCCGCTTTTCTCATCGGTCCGTCTGTCCGTCTAAATTTTCATGTTCGCAAAATTCAAAATGTCGCAAAAGAATTTGAAAAACGCCTATGACGCTTACATGCATATGCAACAAAAACTGTAAACACTCTTTATTTTCGTGTTTTTTGCTTCTTGCTTATAAAGTACAACACAAATGTATCATATAAATCCCCACTTTTATTTTGAAAATAGAAAAAATCCGCCGCGCCCACTTAATATTATAGAGCATGAAAATTTTGTTCTTTTCCTTTTTTTTTTTTTTTTAAAGTCTTGTTTAGGATAACGGTGGTACACGGAGTACACAAGAATTGAAATGTGAAGCTAAGATGAAAGCTACATCCGATCAAATTTAACAATGAGCCTGATTGCGCTTACATATAATAATTAAAAACCTCATGACTAACTCATAGCATAAAACAAGTAAGAACGTTGTAGTAGGGCAACGCCGACTATTACATATTCTACATCACTTTGTTTAGTACGTGTCATGAGAATCCTTACATGCGATCGTATCCAAAAGATAGACCTACATTATCCAAATTCGGTTCCATACCCGTAAGAGCGGGTTGAAAAAATTGTCTCAGCCATAATACTACCACTTAGCAAAATCTGCCGAGAAATTTTGAAATTTGCAAAGTTTCCCGGTATAACGCCCTATTCGGAAAAGCCGTTTTCCCATATGGGGATTAGTAGATTGTGCCTGGGCCACGTCTGATCATCATATCTCAAAAATTGCGACGCGCAGCTTGCACACACATGTACATGTGTAGATATATTTAGAAAATGATTTTCAATCGTCTAGCTCGTGGGTCTAGCTTAAGCTCTTCTGGGTGTTACATGCATGCTTAAAATACCTTACACAACTTGTGGTGTTCAAAGTTTCTTACTTGTTTAACTTAACTTATTATTAAAAGTTTTTAAAAAAAAAAGAAAAGTTTTTATTACCGCATTACTCACTTGATAGAATAAATAGGTGTTTCTAAAAATTAAACGGACATCTGAGATAAATGAAGCGATATCTTTGTAATGATTTGGGCTGGAGGGATCCAATCTTGTGCGTATCACATCCAATGACATTGGACTGCAATGATAATAATAATAATAATAATGATGAATTGGATAAAGAAAATAAAAAGAGAATTATCTCGTCTCATATATATAAACTTACTTGCATATGATTTCGTAGTAGGCTGTATTTGTTGGCGATTCCGGTTCGCGAAATTGTAAGCTTTGCTCATATTGACAATATAATTCTAAGCAGATGCGTTGCAAAATTTGCAATTCAAGACGACTCAGTTCACCGGGATTCTTTTGCATGTTATCTACATTGTTAGCCAACTCCTTAAGGTTAACGCATAATAAACATTGCCAGCTTTCGCTTTCATCGGGCAATGAAGAAATGGCGGGTATATGACAATTCTGATGGAATACTTTGGGACATTTGTCACAGCACATTAGCTCACCGCCATCCAGGCAAACGGCACACCAATCTTCATTGGGATCATCTTTTTCGGTAGTTTTATTGTGAACTGATTAGTTTTTGTATTTTATTGTAATTGTGTTTTTTTAAGATTTTTTTTTTTTTTTTTTGCGAAAATTTCAATTGGAATTTTTTTTTGATTTGCGATTTTGTTGAATGAAGTGAAGGGTTAGTAGTAGTAGTAGTAGTAGTAGTGGTAGTAGTCAGAGAGACACATATTTTAAGAGAGCAATATTTTTGGCAAATTTTTGCAATGAATTCAATGAATTATTGATATTTTTTTTTTTTTTTTTTGGAAAAGAAATAAACAAAGCAAAGTTTTAAGGTAATTAAAAAACTACTGTAGCAGGATGGCTTTAAAAAAAGATTTATTAATACTTTGATTAAAACCAAAAGCTCAAATCAAAACAAACGAAACGAAACCTTGCTTAAAAAATCATGTAATTAATATTTAAAAGTTGGAAAACTTTTTTTTACTTATTTATATATATATATATTTTTTTCATTACTTTCCCAAATAATAAAGCTTTGAGGCACAATAAAAAATAGCTGATTTTTTTTTAAGTGTTTCAAAAAAAAAAAAAAATTTAAAAAAAGTAATGAACAAAAAAGCATTAGCCGATAATACCGTATGTACATATACATATGTATATATATGTACTGCTGTGTCCAAAAAGTAAGATCAGTTTAATTTTTTCTCTTTTAAATCTATATATTATTCCTCAAGCAAGTAAGAAAATTACATTTGGTCGGGACCGAATTTTTTTATACCCATCACCGTTTACCACTAAAAAAAAAAGACAAAAGAAGTAAAAAAATTCTCTTGCTCTATAGTAAGGAGTTTTTTTCGTAAAAGCGCGTGCGTGTTGTAGACGTGTCTTTTGAAAAGTTTAGGTCAATTTCAAATTCTTTTCGAAATTTGCAAGCTTCATTTTCGTTAACGGAAGCATTTTTACCATGAATACTAAAAAGTTGCGCAAACAGACAGACGGATAGACGAACAGGTTTAGGTGCATTCCAGGTTTTTGAATTTGAAACCCCTTATGGGGTTTTTGAAGCTTGTTTCTGCGCGTTATAAAGATATTGGAAAAATAACTAAATTTTGATAGACTACACATATTGGGCAAGGGTGGTCAATTTTTCCCATTTTTGTGCGCAAACGTTACAGCATCGCCCATACAATATGAGCTCAAATTTTTGTACATATATTTGCTGTAGTTTATGAGTAATGAGCAGCAAACCAAATTTTTCATTCCCATTGAATAACAGAGGTATTCTCAATTTATGTGTTGGTGCGGTCGAGTCCTTCGACCAATTTGGCCCATTTCCAACGATTTTTGACAAATCTGAAGTCGATAGCTTCGTTTTTGGGATCGAAAGATTGTTTACAATAGACGGACAGGAGGAACATGCCTAAATCGATTTAGGCTTTGATGCTGACCAAGAACATGTACACTTTATGCGATCTCGTGGTGCTTCTTTCTGGGCGTTACAAACGTTCTGACAAAATGAATATACCCCTCATCCTTCGGTGATGGGTGTAAATATATTCCTTACTAATTGTTTGATTTGGGGGAAGTAACTCATAGTGTCAAACACTAGACTGATCGTGGAAAACTATGAACATGTAACCTAGATTTTGGAGCGACTTTAAAAAAGTTGTCCACTCTCGGCTCATCTTTTGCACGATATTCGCTCGACAGGTTAATTACACACTGACACAAGTTTCATTTTCCATGAGAATACGTTTCATGATGCAGTGGGAGTTGGAAAACAAAATTTCACCTAAGAAAATGAAAATCGGAAGAAATGCCTTTCGCAGTTGAAAAACGAGTTCGACTAATGATGTCATATTTGTGACACAGATATCTGTCACAGTGCTATCCATTATAAAAAAAAAGGTGCATCTGATCTCCGATATATCAAGCAATTTAACTTAAATATTGATCTTACTTTACGGGCACAGCATTATATATATATATATATGTGTTCTTCTGACAAATAATTATATGTGCAAAATAGGCTTTCATTTATTCCGTCCAAAAATTAATGGTAAATTATTTTTAGATTTACAATACAGTTTTGACAAGTATACACCCTCTCCAAGCGGCATATTCGATATTTAGCAATAAATTAAAAATATGAGTGTTGCAGCCAAATATAGGCACTGTCAGGCTTCAATGTTGTAACGAGACAGCGTGTGCAGCAACGATATATATATATGTATTTTCTCTAATACGGGTCAATCCCTTAGAGGATTTTTTCAGTCATATGTATATATACCGTTACTGAAGTAGCCGGCTAAACATGAGTCCCCACCTCTCTGGGAAATACTTTCCGCCCAAGATATTTTCAAAGCCTAAACAGTATTCTACGCTTACGGAACTTAAGCTTGACATGGGAGAAGCTTGCTGTGATCGCTTTGACAAACTTGCAGATTACGACAAGTCCTTACTTGGAAGGACAACGTTTGACACTGTCTTATTAATTACATAACACCATGGGTTTAACAATAGAAATTAATGTTAAGTTTCATTTTTTCACATATAACTATTTTCTATGATGTATATAAGAAACATATATATATATATGTATATATATATATATTTATATATAAGGTTAAGGTTATGTAATTTTTGTCTCTTTTATATACACATGAAAAATGAAGAAAATTGATTCTTCAGGTAGCACTGGAAATAAATAATGCATTGCACATATAAATATTTGATAGACGTACGTCTTGAATTCGAGATGTATTTTTGTTAAGGATTTCTATATGAGCGGCTGCTTAAAAATAAAAAAGGCTAACACATTTCTGAACTTTTCTATTTTTAATACTATTAAATTATAATTATTTTTTTTTGCTCTTGAAATATAAATTGGAAATCTTCTTACTGTACTCAGATTTGCTCCCTAATATCAAGGCCCTATCTATATTTATATAAGGCAAAGATTTCTTCCTTTCCTTCCAATTTCTTTATCTATTAAGTGATTATAAATTCGAATAAAAAGCCGTGTGCGATAATCACTTGTCATGGTGAAATAGTGATATTGATTAACCTCTCAGATCTCCATAAGAGAGAGAGAGAGATAGAGAGAGTGAGAGAAAGAGGCAATTGTCTCGCTAGGTTACCTTGTTAGGTTCTGAAATCAGCATAGTTTCTCCAATATGAACGGAATAGCAAAACGAATACTTAAGATATCTGAAATACTACGACTTAGCGAGTCCATAGAAAACAAATTGCGATTTGTCATTTGTAACTCGATACTGCAATTACTGCAGAGGCCGAGAAACATAATAATTTTTCATCATGAGCTTAGCTACACTACCTAATAATAAGTTAACCTACTTTTCCTATGTCTTGTGAAATCATAGATATATACCGCCTCATTGAATGATCAATCAGTTAAGGTTTTAATTAATTTTTAGACTAAAGATTCCAATCATAACGATGAAGTTACAAAAATGTAATAAACAAATTTTTTTAAGCGGCTTAAGATGATAATTAACTTACCCTCTTGTGTATTGGATAAATCTGTGGAACTGTGAACCTGAGGTGATGTGGTTTTTGTACGTCCTTCTGGTAATACTTGAACACCGTTCGAATCCAATTTTGCTATGGTTGCCATAAGATCGTTAATTGAATCATCGCGTACTTTATCAATGGGTTCAGTAAAATCTTTCGAGTTCTTTTAAATGCATTAAATAAAAAAAAATAATAATAATAAAAAAAAATTGAACAATCATCACAGGAACGAAAGTTGTAATTATGCATATATATTAACTTACTTCATGAGTACTGGGACTGGGAGTTTTAGGATTGGTTGAGGTGACATTCGGCAGGATCGAGACTGCGGGACCTAACCCTAGCGAAGCGGCATTTAATAATGAATTGCCGGCACTGTTTCCGCCACTTACAGATAGGCCTCCCCCTCCTCCGCCGCTACCACCACCACTACCGCCACCACCACTTATACCCATGACGCTTCCATGTCCACCGCTACTACTACTGCTGCCACCAGGCATACCGTGACCTGATGATGAAGTACTACTACTGCCAGTTGAAGGTGGTGTAGTATTTTTAAGAGTATTTAATGATTTTAGCGATATTTTAAAATTTTCCGTTTGACGGCCATTGGGAAATTGCATTAGATTGTGTCCTTGTTGCGAACAAGCTAACCCATGACAGAAAATTCTATTATTTTAAATACCTAGATTTGACGAGACATCTTGACTTACAATTACTTTGGGCTGATTGGGGTATATGCCATTTAGCCATTGGTGCACTGGCGGGACCCCCTAGACCATGCGGGGAAGTTTGTGGATGTCCGGCATTATAATTTGGTTGACTGGTATGAAATCCCATACTCTACACAAATGAATGCGATTATAAACTCCAAAGCTTTTTTAGTTTACTTTCTAACGAGAAAAAAACTTACATTTTGCATGGGATTACCCATCATTTGAGGCCTTTGCATAGCACCTGGGGAAGGTATTTGACTTCCGCCACTTGAAGCCATGGCTGCTACGGCCGCCTGTTGTTGAGCATGACTGGACATTCGTTGATAGTTTGGAAAACGTGCCGCGGCAGCAGCCGCTACGCTATTATTTATAAAATTTGGATTGTTCGGTCCACCAGGCGGAAAACTTGGATGCTGCTGACCCGGTGGACCGCCCATAAAATGCGGCCTCATTTGTGCGCACATTTGTTGATGTGGTGATGGGGCGCCTTGAGGGCCTGGATAATTTGGCGGTCCATTAAATGACATTGGCTGATTGGGACTTTGTGCGGCCTGATTATTTAATAAGCCTCGCAGACTGATATCTATAAAATATATGCATGAATATACTGTAATATGAAAAAATTTCTTATTTCTTCTCCTGGCATACCCATATTTTGTGGATGTGTTGAGGAACTAACATGGGGTTGTCCTTGTCTTTGCATACCCACCGGGGGCATACCACCATATCGTACTATGGAGATTAAAAATATAAATTTGATAAGTATAGATAATCTTAAGGCAAATTGTAGTTATTTACTAAAAAAGATTTGAACGATTTGTTAGCCTACCCTTACCTGGCCCTTCGCCAGCATAGGAGCGGTTCATTTGCATGTTATTAAATTGTTGTTGTTGCTGTTGAGGTGAGGGACTATTATATAAAGGTGGACCATTTTGAGGACCAAAACCGCCTGGTGGGCCCGGAGGACCCGGAGGTGATATCCCGACCGGCATTGCCCCAGGACCGGGACGTAATGGCGGTGCCATATTTGGACTTGGCTGTTGTCGTGGTGGTGGATTCGTGCACGGTGCCGGCGGATATGGCTTGCCATCCACCACTATGGTACCAAGTTGTGAGATAACTGCAAAATACATATATTTAGTATTTAGATGAATTATTATATATATAACCGCTCACTCACCTTTCTGCAGTTCGGGTATTTGATTCATTTGTATTTGTATGCGTACTGGAATTTCCGGATTGGGTATATCAGCGCGCTGACATTTGAGTTTTTGCAATTGATTTACTAACGATTTCTTGCTGGATAAGATTGCATAATCGCTACCCTTTTCCAATGCGTTACCCATAAATTCTATACAATGATCGGTATGATCGGCCAATAATTGCAAATGATCTTTCTTTTCAATTAATACTTTCAGTTTACTATCGCAAACTTCATTTAAACGCATAATCAATTGTTTGCCCCGCATATTAACTGTATTCGTAATTTTTACAACCATAGCGGTTACTTCCTTAATAAGTTCTGTTTTTTTATCACCAATCATTTTTTGACGATCATCGATCACTTGAGTAGCTGTACTTAATAGAAAACGTTTATAGTTAATTTCCGATAATAGAGTAGATAGAGATTGTCGCGTTTCGGTAGCAATTTCATGAGCAAATTTATATTTATGATCGCGATGATCGCTTAATTGACAATCTCGACATGTCAGTTTTTCGCATGTCTCGCAATAGAGTGAGTATTTCTCTTGTGGATGCAGGTGACACATATGCAATTTATCGACACCAGCAGTGCCTGGTAATTGTTCATTGTTAGCCTCTTCTTTCGGTTTAATCGTATGATCCTTGGTTATTTTGAGTCGTTGATGAGCTTGCACACAACTATCGCATATATATTCGGAACAATCGACACACCATGAGGTCGCTATAGCATTATCCGAACAACTGCTACACTGTATACTGGCCGAGGCTGACGTCTTTGTACCCTCGGTACACGAACTACCATCGGCTGACATTTCACCGGCCGCCGTACACTGTTCGATAAGAAACTGATTGTCAATTATTAATTCATTCTGTGAGGCCATATTACATATAGGGCAGTGTATCAGCGGCGGCATAGTACGATCCAATTCAACGAATTTGTTATGCACGCACTGAGCGCAAGCTATATGCAAACATTCCAATAGCTTTGGACGGTCGTTAATACCCAAAGTCTGAGAACACCAAACGCATTTTAACATAGTGGCCTTTGGATTGTTTGATGAAGTAGATGTGGATTCAGACTAAAAAAAAAGATAGCACAAGCAAGCAATAAGGAATGAAAAATCTCAGAAAGATCCAAATTTTATTTTTTTTTTATTTTCAATTTTTTCTGCTTTTTATGGCTGCAAAAGGCATATAAAGATTTGTAAATGATTATTAAATACTAAACTTGACAGTCCTAATCACTAGATAAGATAAGAGCGTTCAAGGGTGGAAAACTATAAAGATAATACACTGCGTGTGCTGTGTGTATATGTGTCAGGCATTCGTATAATTTCAATAGTATTATTAAAAGGAATGAATTTTGTTTATAAACTTTTTGTGATTATAATTTTTTACGCCCTACACCATCCACTTGAGTTTGCGAGCATGCATACAATACCCAGAAGGACTTGATATAGACCCCATCGACCAATTTAGAATCACTTTCGATCCGTCTGTCCGTTTCCATTCTTATGTTCCCCCGACAAATCGCAATTTTAGAGATATTTTGATAAAATTCGGTACATATCGATGTGTTTTGGCCCAAGGACGAAGGCTATTGAAAATTGTTCAGATCGAAGTACTTTTGCATTTACTTCTCATGTACGGCACTATTTTGAGAAGTGCGTATATGAATAACTGTACTAAGCGAAACGGTGTAAGTTAATAGGCCCTAGACTATTATAACGTTATTTACTTGTTTTAATGTCTAGTGGTTTCGTAATGAGTCTACCTTCTAAGGTGAATACGTGAAAATAATCCTTCGTGAACTTGTTACCGCGAAATCCGACAGAAGTACAATCGTCTCCTCAAAACTCTCTGAAAAGCCATTTCATGATCTCAGGGTGGCATGAAAATACTCGAACACCCTCTTTTACCTTACGATACTTGTACCCACCGGTGCCTATCTGTAATATGTAGGATGGGGTGAATCGATCCTTAAAATGTATGTATAGGTCCAATTTTCTTATTATATAGTTTTTGGAGATCAAAAATTTATCTAAAGTAATCTTTCACGTTGCATGTCTTGTGGGAAAAATGCGAATTTAAAGAGCAAGGGCATAATAATCTATGGGAAATAAAGAAGGAAATGTTAAGATAACTACTTCTTGGTTTGTTTTCATTTTGCTTTACCCTACGGTAAACAAGAACAAGAATGTTTGAGCTAATTAGCAGAAAGTAATGATGGCGAGCTTTTATTAACATGATAAGGACATGCAGTGAAAATAGTTTGTAAGGGGAGATATTAAGGGATTTCATGCTTATTTTCAGTTTTCAAGAAGAA